AAAACTTGACTACATGATTTTGTAATTAATGAAACACAGTGTTTTGGAAAATGCCAACAATACCTTCTTAATTTCTAGGGCTCTGCTACCAAAGCTTTTCCATTTGGCAAAAAGGGATTTTTCCCATGACACTTAAGGTCCTTAAAATGATTTATTTTTACATTTTCATATCCTTTATCCACATGGAAATGAACAAATGACCTGCTCTTCATAAACACCATCCAAAAAAAAGAGCCAGGTGATGACCTATTGGCAAATTAGGATAAGGAGTTGACTGGATTAGGATTTGTTGTTTCTTTTGTGTTGGTTTTTTTTTTTTTTTTTTTGCTGATTTTTCTCTTTGGTGGATCAGAAGAAAAAAAAAATCAAGACTTTTATTCATCATTCTAAATGGCAATTGCATACAGTACCTAAAACATACAGAAAAAGACTTGGTCACAGCTGAAATCTTGCATTTGAAATTTAATTAATGTGAAATTGTCCTTCTAAAGGAAAAACAATTTGTTAAACTGATGTTAACTTATACCATACTTCGGAATCATTTTATCTTGAAATATCTGTCTGTGGAATTTATTCTTGGTTAGATATTACTGACAGCACTGTTTAAATTACACCAAAGCAGTACAACCTAGAGTGTATTTGAATGCATCTTGGTAACTAAGATATATTTTGATTCATAAACCAACTGTTTTTTGCTTTGCATGTGGTAAAGTAACTGGGAGGTTCATAGGAAACTGACTCATAACGGAAAGCTTTCTCCAGCATGCACTGTAGCAAAGGCACAGTTGCCAAGAAGTTATCTGGGTTCATTTCCATAGCAACCAATCAATATAACTGTTTATTTTCAAAAGGCCTTTCACTTGAACTAAGAATCTTATAAACTTCAATATTACTGTTGAAAGTTAAATGTTCTGATTATTTGACCTTTTTTCAGCACAAGGGGAATAACTTGCTGGTGATTTTCTTTACACAAAGATTACATTCATTAAAATACATCAATTTTTCTTTATATAATGGAATTAGAACTGTTTGGTGAAGTGGGGGCAGATGCTTGAGGTTTTTTTGCAGATCATGTACAAATATTTCAAATATCTTGTTTTTTGAAACAGTGTGCCAGTGTTATACTTTTTCGACATTCTTACAGGGAGGAAGGGGTAGTTGTGGTTTTACTTGATTTTATTTTTACAAGAATTGAAGCATCAGTTTCTGTAACTGAGGCCTTTTTCTTGTAACTTTTACTTTGTTTGTAAAACTTAAAATTCTGATCATCCTATTTAATGTTTATGAAATTATTTGCCTGAATAAGGCCTAACCTGTGACATGAGTAGACTGACTCTTCCAAAAAAGTAGTGGTTTTGTGCTATTCGCCTTACTTGAACAATGTTATACATACAGTAGTATTGGTATGTTGAAATCAAAATCTTTAAAAGTTTTAAGGACACATTTCTCAAGCAGATGTTACTTATATTTATCTTGTATTTACAAGCCAAAATACATTTAATGTTCACTAAAACATGTTTTACTATAATGTTAGTGATGTCTGGAATACTATATAACTCTACAATGCAAAGCTGCTTTTTACAGCAAAACTGTAGCTTGTTCTAGAGGTAGAAAGCTGTTCTGAGAAGCAGAAACTGTAATACTGAGAGTTACACAAAGATTTTGGCACATTATTTTGACCCTATGAGTTTACAGAAACTTTTTTTTTGTACGAAAAAATACTATTACTTAGTAACTGGAAATGCTACAGATGTAAAAACACTAAAAGAACTTAGCACAATGATGAATAGGAGAAAATGTGATTCTGTTACTGGTAGTCCCAATGGTATCTTGGGTGACAAGGGAAGGGTGGTAAGGGCAATGACAACTGTCCTACTTGTATGATGAATAGATATGAGAAGGGATTTTCTGACCTTTATGGAGGATAAGTGAACACTTTTGGTCTTGTAGCACTGTTTTACAGCATTTTAATGAATAGCAGAAAATCTACACTGCTTTTAGTTTCCAAAAGGACAGTCAAGTCAAATTGTTTTGCAGATACTATTGAATGCACAGTGATGTGCAAACGCAGGCTCCCTGTGGATTCATGGCCATATCTGGTACGCCTGAGAGTAGAGACAGAATGCAGGAGAAGGTTGTCAAAGGATTAAGAATTGTTGCTTTTTGAAACTTAAAAAAGGTTTGTATAATTGCATGTATTTCAGTATTGGTATTTCTGGCAAGGTTTAATTTCAGCAATTCTTTAAATCCCAGCAGGACAGCCACTACAACAATCACTTTGTTTAGGCAACAGCATTTTTAATTATTCTCTAAATGTAGAGGTTTTTTAAGTATGTGTTAAAACTGAGATTCTTACTCTGTGCTGAAACTAGATATAAAACCTGATTCTGGGATTTTTTTTCTGTCTATACGTTTGAGGGTTTTGGGGAAGAATATTACCAGTATGCCCAAATCTGATGGGTTCAGTGATAGAAAACTTTGACCAAACATATCATTTAGTTAATCTGCATGCAAGTTCACCTTCTTGCTCAGCCTTGTTAGTTCTACAAGCTCCTGAAAGTTAGGGTGACTAGCAGCAGGGTTGAGGCAATGAGCAAGTGTATTGTCTTTCAGTATAAATGCAGTCTGCTGCATCTGGTACTCACAAGAGGACATTTGGTATTGTTTTATGAGTTTCTAGCATTCTCAGTCTATCCTGATAGAACTGTTGACAGAAAAATCAGAGTACTTCTTGATGACTTAAGATAGTGACATGAATATCCCTTCTCTATCTGAAGAAAAAAACTGGCTAGTCAGGTCATGCAAAAGGTTTTGTTCCTTTTTTTTTCCTGCTTGTGGTAAAACTGCGTTTGAGGTAGTGGAGTTTCTATGGCAGAAGAGGGCATTCTATTTTGTTGTTGTTTTTTTTTTTGTTTTGTTTTTTTTTTTTGTTTTGGTTTGGTTTTAGGTTAAATTATTACTTAGGGAAAAAAGAGTTTAAACTCAATTCTGAAGATTTCATTTCTAAGTTAGAGTAAGGCTGGACCATTGTCATCTGCAGAAAAAAAACAAAGTAGAGTGTTCTCAGGAGTTGCATTATATTTAATTACAGTATATGACACCTGCAAATATACAGACCCTGGATATTCCTGCACTTGGATAGCTGTGTTCTGCTTGACAGTGGGTATCTACTTGATTATTTTCTTCACCTGAGAGTTGAGCAACCATCACGTAAGAGCTACAATAGTTATTCTTAGGCCTTTTAAGCGTAACAAGCAGTTATGAAATATCCCTTTAATCTCCTTAAGGTTGTATTTTACATGATGACTTCTTGCCTTAGCCTCTTTCCAGTACAGGAACTATGTAACTATTTGTAATTTGGTTTTTTTTGAATTTTAGTTCTACTTTGGGTTTAAAAAACTCATACGCTGACAGTTTGGGATTTGATTTTTTTTTTTCCAAAGCACAGGAAAGTTTACAACATAAAACACAACAGATAAAAGGTAGCTCATGGTATACAGAGCCTGTTCCTTTCAGTCACATGCTGGAATATGACTCAGTGTTGTGTCATCAGAATCCGTTACTCTGTTGTGGTCATTAAACTGACTCATTGCAGACAGGCTAGTTTACTCCTACCTTAGGAAGTCACAGTGCCTGTGAGCAGTGTAGCTGGCAGTCTCACCAGCACAACAATTTGGAGCTTCTGCATGAGTCTTGCAATTCGTCATTTCTCCATACACGTGGTAAACTCTGACTCCTGCTCATGCGGAGAATCCTGCCTCTGTTAAAAATGTCAAACTGGCTCTTCAATAAGATGCTCTAAGAAGTTAATACAAAACACAGGAAATGTATCTACTAGAAAAAATGGCAGAAAAAGGATGAATATTGCCCTAATATGTGAAGACTGTACTTGAATAACTATAGTGGTAGAAGAAATTATCACAATTTCTCCACAGTTCCGAGTTTAGGAATGTGGGACTAGACAAGAGCTTCTGATCACTGAGGGAGGTCCCTCAGAATCACAGTCCTTATGTCTCCTGTTATTGATAAACTGACCAAACTTGTCTTTAAAAATTGTAAAAATTTTTTGCTCCTACTTCACTTATTGAAAGGCTGTTCTAGAAACTTGATCTGTGGTGTAAGACCTTGTAATGCTCTGTTTTAAATGGGTGTTTGGTTATGCCTTATTTTGGTCCTAACCACTTTGTACGTGACTAATGTTACTTGGTCTCTAAAGTGTTGGAATCACTAGTGTATTTTTATTAATTTATTCTCGTAAGGTACAGGAGTTTTCTAGTTGTATTCCCTGTACCCATTCATTTTGGAGTCTGTTATTGCTCAACCAGATTTACTCAAGCAGAATAATGTGTTCCATTTGCACCTTATAAAATAATATCAATGTGGCTGAAAGCATCTTCCATTTTGCCTTTTCTCAGCTACATCATACTATCATGTTGTAATCCTTCTGTGATAAACAAATATGTTCAGATATTAGTTGTCTTATTTTGCTCTCAAACAGCAAGGTCCTGGTATGTACCTGATATTCCTGTTTGTCCCAAGCGCATGAATTTCTATCTGGTTATACTACATCATCTCCTTTGTACTTTTCCAGGCCTCAAATTTATCTGGCTCTGCTTGTATCTCTTTCTCTGTATTGATAAAACACTTGTCAAATACAGTATCTTGAGCACTTTCCAAAGCTCAGCAGCTTGGAAGACAGTGCTTGGGAGCTAATGTTCAAGAAAACTTCACTCACCTGAAGCAAACTGGAGAAATCACAATCCCATTCATTTGCAAAAGCACCAGCTATTGAACTTTTCTGTAGGTCTTCTACTGTGGTCAAGGTTTGAAACAATTATTAGTCTTGCTACACAAAGTGAAGAATGAAGGATGACAATTCAGACCGTGAACTGATTTTGCATGACATGACTACAACCAATGTTTGTTCTTGAGCTGTCCTATGTTATTTTAGGGTCCTGAATGTATGTGCAAGTAATATGAAACATGTTCTCTTTTTGCAGGGAAGTAGTACAGGCAAACTGTGTCCGCTGGAAGAAAAAGTTCTTATTTATGTGTAAAATCAGTGCCAGTGCCACAACAGGGATTTTAGATACTTGCATTTGCAGGGTGTCTGTACGGAAGGTAAGTAGCCTTTTTTTCCCTTCTCTCCATTTTTCCTGTTCTTTCTTCACTTATTTTGGTTTAATTTTTAAATGTCTGCTCAAATTCATAAAGTAAATTTTAGCTGCAATCATGTCAGGTATTCTTCTAGTAGAAATTCCACAGTAATCTTATTAATTACCATAGTTTGAATAATTAATTTCTTTTTCTTATGGAAAGAAACACTTATTCCAGCAGGATAACAAAGTAATCACTCATCAGTCTTTATAAAGTTAGCCCTTGATAGATACTTCTAAGAAGGGTGAGAAGTCTCTATCCTAAATTTACTTAGGATATCCTGAAGACACTTCAGCAGTAAACTTAGAAGTCTTGAACTATGCTAAGAATTTTTAATGCAGCACATCCTACTGTTGAGGCTAGACTTTGCAAGAGCCAAATACTGGTTGGCATAATGCACTCATCCTTCTGTTCTGCCTCTCCGCAAGATGACAGTCTCCTGCTGGCTTGCACAGAGAACATTATTAACATTAAGTTCTAAATGACAGCAGCACAGCCTAGCAAATGTGTGTTGAGCTATTTTAAAATGAAGATTAGTATTTGCTTTTCTTAAAAAAATAAGAAAAAACAAAACCGAAACCAACAAAAAACCCAGTCAGTCTGTTTAATAGCTTAATGGCATTTCTCTTTTTTCCTAGGAGTTAAAAGGAGGAAAGGCATATGCAAAGGTAAATTGAGATGTATCTAATTTTGCCCTTTAATTACCTTTTCTTTCTTGTAATTTTATGTCCTTTTAAAGTAATTCCAGAATACTACTCTAATAACACATGATTTCATTATGTGCATTATAGTGACACAGTGGTGTTGAAACTCTTGATCAGTGTGTTTAATAAATAAATATTATACCACCAGAATGCTTTTTTTCTTTCAATTTAGTATGTTGAAAGAGCTGATAAAAGTAAACCCTTCTGCATCTGTTTACTTTTAAAAATACAGAAAACTGTTCTTTTTCTTTCTTGAGACTGAAAATAGAATTATGCAGAATTTGACACTCTCAAAGAGCCAAGGCTTTTTGCCTTGGGCCACTCCCATTAAGGGGTATCCTCTTTTTCATATCTGAGTGAAACTGCTGTTGGTGGTACGCAATGCTGTGCATGCAACAAGTACAACTAATATGCTTACTACTAATTTTGTCATTTTCTTTTAACAGCTGGGATTTGCAGACCTAAACCTTGCAGAGTTTGCTGGATCAGGAAATACCACTCGTCGATGTTTACTGGAAGGTTATGATACCAAAAATACAAGACAGGATAACTCCATTCTCAAAGTAATTTGTTTTCTTTATGATACTTAAACTAATAAAGCAGAGAACAAGTATTATTAAACACAATGAAATTTAAAGCATATTTGGTGAACCTCTTTCTAGAAGGAATGCTATTTAAAGTAAAAGCATCAGCGCTGTTTAGAAAGAATCATTAAAATCCATGCAGTCAAAACAGAATTTGTCCTATTCTTTGTAAAGGAGTTGGATAGCTGTAAAAGAAAAGCTTTCAAACGGTATTCATAGTCTAACAGGAATTGAACAAAGGAATAGGAAAGTATGATGAAAAAGTTAATACATTCATATATATGTGTAGCGATTATATCTTTAAAACTGGACAACTTCCTGTGCAGCTTTATAGGAGTGAATCTCCTAATTGGCTTATTTATGTATAAGCCAGCTTCAACACCTCAACGACTCCTGGAACATCCCCTTTTCTGTTTGATAGTAATGAAAGTAATAATTGGGGAGCATTGTTGCAAGAAACCCACCCTGCCATTCTCTCCCATTAATCCAAGGAGTTTAAAAAATGGAGTAAGCTGCATAAACCTGAAAATCATGACATACAGAATGTTACAAGTGAATTAAAAAAATAAATAAATAAGAAAGTGAATAAAAAAAAATTTCCAAGACACTAGGATTAATTTCTGACACTACTGAGCACACTGTTTAAGCATGCACTATGTGATTTCTTAAAGACAGTCTTAGACTTTAAAAACTTTTTAATTGATGGCTTTGACCCAGCTAACAAGCCTTCTCAATGAATTGTTGTCCTACAGCATTAGTTACCCTTCTGTGGTTTTATTTACCTCTGGTGTTAGCACAACCAGCTCTTGTGTGCTAGCTGTTTGCTAAACGCTCTTGGCAAAGAACAAACTTCAGCACCCACTATTTTAAACAATATTCTGTTTTCTCATTAATCTTAGATTTCCTCTTTTTTTCCCTTAAAGCCATTTTAAGCTTAATTAATTAATTAAAGCCATCTTAACTATTAATGATTCTAAGAGTCTTCTTGATCTATGCATCTTTTGCGGAATCTTGTACATGTAACTATGTTACCTTAAATGCCATTTTGTGGTGTTTGCATGTGTAATAGGAAAAAAAAGCTAGCTTTTTTTCATACATGTGTTTACTTGCATATGTGAACATGCCATTTTGTTTTACTTAAATATAAGATTTGTGGCAAGTGTAAGGTAGTGACATGACCATGTATCACAGACCAACTCCATTTTTCTTCTTATAGCGGGTTTTTGTTTTATTCGTGTGTAGGTTTTGATCAATATGCAGCTAATGTCTGGAGACCCATGCTTTAAAACGTAAGTTAAAAAAAAATATCTGTGTGGGATAGTGTTTTGGTCATACATTCCATGTTCAGAATTACACTTCTGAGTTGCATTTATAAATCTTTCTAATCTGACAATATTAACAAAAAAAAAAAGTTAGAAACAAATGGGATGGTAGCTGAATAATGGCTAACATGGTAAAAATAACAGAAGTCTCATAATTCTCCTTGCTGCTGAATACTTAATATATTTTCTAGCAAACAATACTAGCCTGCAAACCTGTAAATAAATAAATAATGAAAACAAAAACCATATAGGAAACTGTCCCTGCTGTGAGGTTATATAATTATTCTTGGTATGGGGTGATTTGATTAATACTTGTGTTTGGAAAACGTGCTTTTATGCCTTTTATTCACAAGTCTCAGGTGATTTTAAAAGATTTATAAACAAAAAAACCCCAAAAAAAATAACAACTAAAAAAACCCACCAAACCCAAACCCCAAACCGGAAGCGTGGTATGACTTACAAGAGAAAGCACTTACAAATATTTCTCTGTTAGCAAAGACATTATGCAAGTTAGTAAAAGATGCAAGAGGTAACATCTGAGGGGAGAGGTTGCTAGGAAAATACAGAGCGATGTATCCAGGATCCTTTGGCCTCATTATCCTTAATCTATAGTTAATGAAATGAAATAGTTTTGCCAGAGCATGTTAGCTCCCGTAACTAACCACAGAACAGACAAACTGTGCATGCTAAGGAAAAACCCAGTCATGAGTAAGATGACATTGTTGCTTTCTTTCTAGACTAATGGGCCATTTTGTTATGGGACACCTAAACTGAGTGGATAGCTACACTGAAACAGAGCAAGTGGCTATTGCTAACCATGACTTAAGTATCCCGATCAGTAGGAAGTGAAGAGCTCCCATGTCGTATTATAAGGGACACTTTATAATAACCTGAAAGCCATTAATTCTAAGGATAGGCTTAGACATATGTATAGAATTTGCTTCCATGAATGCAGTGTGGAAAACTCCTCAGTACTTGCAAAGATTCTTAATGCCATTGCTTTTCTGTAATTCAGAATGTTGGCAGACTGAGTTTTTCGAAGTGTATGTGCTTTCCAGTTCAATGTCAATCTTTTCTCATTTTACATGACAGTGTATGGCAATTTTGTCTAGACCACGTTTAAACCAACTTAGTTGTATTTTACTTGTCACAAGATATTTAGGGAGAGGTTGATTACACAATTCCTTCAAAATAAATTTGATCTTAGTTTAACTCAATTTTTTCTACAGTTCCCTTCATTGAGCACACTGTTATACTGAAACTAGTAGAAGACAGAATAAAAATTCTTACCATAACATGTGATTAAGCTGTGGAACTCCTTGCTACTCCACGTTGTGAATATTAAAAGCTCAAGAAAGAATTAAGACAAATTCCTGAACAAAAAATTATTGCAGGCTATTGAGCATAAAACATTATATGAGGCTCAAGCACTTACAGATGAGGAGATACTGGAAGAATATTCAGGAGATGGATTACTACCTGTGTCATGTTCTCTCAGCATCTGTTCTTTGCTGTTGATAGAAACAGGACACAAGGCTGGACAGACCTTTAGGCTGAGACAACATGCTTGTTCTCATGTTGGCCCTTTCAAAAACAATCTAAAGCAGAATTCCAAGTATTACATATAGCTTGAAAACAAAAAATGAGCTTAAGGAAAATAATCGGGAAAAAACCTACTAGCTTCACTCCTGTTACATCAATCTCAATTTTTTATATAGGTTTGTAACCTTCCTTTATACTTTCAGACATTACGTTTCATCTAAGGTATCTCCCATTGTAAAGATATAATGCTTGCTTACAAACTGCTACACTCAAATGCTTTTACTTCAGTATGGAATATGGTTTTTATTCAAAATATTATCATAAACTGATTTTAAATGCATCTCCTATCAGATGTAGGAGCAATCAATGTCCCTCTTAATAATCCAATGACTAGGGACAACAATCTCATGCACACCTGTAGCAGTGAACATATATTCAAGTCTTCTTTAAGTTAAAAAGATTGCAATTAAAGGGAAATGAGGCTGCAGCTCCAAGAAAAGCAGCACTGATCCCTTAACTCAGTCTCAGGTAGAAGTATGAATTAGCTTATGATCTGTAGGTTTTAGCTAGTTTGAGGTAGGTTCTGGTGTAATTAGGACAATCAAGAACTCAAGTAGCAACTTGAGACCTTGTTCATTATTGCTGTACCTGTGTCCTTACCATCGTTTCTGAGGAAATCTGAGAATGCTACTTGCATCAGCCTAGCTCAGATGATTCACCACAGGAACTCTTCAGTGTCCGCTTGCACCATTAAAGACCCTTTCAGCTCTCCTAACCTTCAAAACGAACAGAATGCTATAAAAGCTCATCTTGTGCTTACTGAATAAATAGTAAGACAGTATTAGCTGAATTTGATTGGTCAAAGCTTTTCTATGTCTCTAGTTATTTAGTCGCTAGTTATTTGATTTACTTTTGAGTCAGAGCTATTAACAAATACATCACTGGTACTGATAAACAATTTCTCAAAGGCATCTAACTAATCATTGACCCTGCATACTAATAAACAATGTGTTCCTGTTCTTACTGGCTGGTACTGAAGGAGTTCAAATTAGTACCTAAATAGTTTTCTACCTCCCTAGGAAAAAATCTCTAACTGAAATTATTCAGACTTGGCATTTTCTTCCAAACTCATGATATAACCATTTCCTGGAACGTAAACTTTCAACACAAACAGAACAAAAAATTTATCTAATCCAGATGTCCTCTGCAGAAGAAAAAAAATAAACCTTAAAGCAATTACACAACTGAAATCAGCTACATATTTTATGAGGCAGCTTAGGAGGCTTGGTGTTTGATCTGGGGTGACATCCCTGAAAGCATTCGGTTCTTGCTTTCCTAAGATAGGAAGATAAGTCACACAAGCATTGTATTTCTAGAAGCACTTTTTCTCTCTTTTCTTTAAAACATAAGGAGGGATATGTTACTGTACAAAGACAATATTAACTGGATATGTCAAATCTAAAAATGTTAACAAAAATCCACTTATATGCAGACTAATAGTCTGTTCCCAAAGTCAAAAATAACAAAGCATTAGAAAAACTGTAGGTAGGTAACATCTTGAAATGTATTTTAGTTGTACTTGCTTGCAAGAGATTACTTTGACTTTGTTGTTTTCTAATTAGATTCTTTTGTACCAGCAAAACACAAACTTAAGAGGTCTAGTAATTTAAAAATATTCCCTTAGGTCTTGGTATAAACCAAAACAAGCATTTAACCATTACACAAAACTTTTAAAATACTGAACCAAATTTAAAATATGTTGTGCATGATGCTCTTTTTATTTTGCAGGAGGTAGAATACTGAGTGGAATACATGGAGATGGTAACATTGGCCCCCACTATTAGGAGAGGAAGGGTTACAGCCCAGAATCTCCTCAGGTCTTGTAACAGATACAGAACAAAGAACATCACAATGTGCAAGTCAAGCAGGCCAACTGTTGTTGCATGGTGTTTCGTTTTTTAAACTTACCATCTTGTCATGTATTCCATGAAGTACTGCATTGTATATATTCTTAGTATGTAAATTAGCCTAATTCATAGACTTAAAAAAAATTAAGAACTTGAAAACAAGCACATGTCACTTCATTAACCATCAAAAAAGGAAAAGCCTTTCCAAGGAACCTGAAGGGTTGAGAGCTGAGCAGATTGATTTTATTTCTATATTTTTCCTTTTTTATCCTTTTAACAGGGGGCTAGGTACCATGTTTTCAGAAAAAAAAAGTCACAAGCATATTAACTTGAAGCACAGTATAATTTATGCCAACTTACTTGAAAAATCTGTGCTGATCAATCTGAAAGAATTACAGCAGAAGTACAACGAATCTTAACCACCTTTTTCTTACAGGCCCCCTTCGACAGGAATGTCTATAGCAATTGCTGGAGAATCAGAATCTCTTCAGGAAGACAGGAAAGGTGGAGAAAACGTAAAAGTAGTACATCTGGGCATAGCAGGTATAAAATAATGCTCTTAATTTCTCAGTTCTTTTATACTGGCTTCATAGCTTCAAGGAGATGTACAAAATCTTAAAGGGATGATGACAGTTGGCCCACAAAGGGACCTTCTTTGGTTATTTGTTGAGACACACTCTCCTAGGTGACATCAGTGGAATCTCTATTACTTTTTTAACAGTTTATTTAATGGAAAGATCAGAAATTGGATTGATAGTTAACCTTTTTAACATTTTAAATCTTACATGTTCTGTGTGACCCATTTCTTGATTGTTGTGGAATTGAATTTTGAGTGAGCATTTAATTTGGCCCTTGATTTGCAACTTGTAAATCATCAGGATATGTGTAATTTAGAGTGGTAAATTTTGAGTGGTAAAAGTTCTAAGTATTGTTAAAAACTGAAGTAGCTACTCTGAAATTCAGATTATTATTAAAAAACCAAAAGCATTAAAAAACCTTATTTCAAAATTGGTGGGGGGGTTGTGGGTTTTGTTTTTGTGGGACTTTTTTTTCTGTGTTTTTTTACAATCTTCAGATTCTCACAAAGCTCATTAGTTTCCACCATACACAGCTTAAGTTGTATTAACCACGGTTACTTTTTCAGCCAGAAAACATCTATCATACCATTCTACTGTAATACCAAGGAAAGCATGGTAATCCCTTTAATGTCGACAGTAGACAAATCTAGAGCAACATTTCATATAAATATTTCTAATCCAATGGTACTCTCTGTTTTACTTGGACAGAAACATGATACTTCTATTTTTTCTAAGGAATGCGTATTTGTTAACATCCATGGTATTTTTGCAGCACTTGACTCTTCAAAGGGTTTGTAGAAGACCAGTGTCAACCCCTAATCCTTCAGGGAAATCAGACATTTGAGTCTGATCACAATTACAGACAAAGAAATAACAAAGCTGGCTTTAGCAACAGTATAACAGTATCTGACTTGCACATGTTGCAGATGTGTCATCAAAGAGTGCCTCAGTCCCAGATGAACTTGGTGCATGTGGACATTCCAGAACATCAAGCTATGCAAGTCAGCAGTCAAAACTGTCAGGTAGTTGTTAACAATTTTGTTGTGAGTTTGGGGGGGCTATTTACTTTCATAGTTCTAGACTGTAATAAAGTATACTTCATATGTTTGAAAAAAAATTTGAAGTTGAAAGGTTTCCCTAGTCATTTCAGGTGTGTGGAGGGTAACATTTTTTCCTCTTAAAAGCACAATGAATTATCTGTTCAGATGTGAGACAGCTTTTTCCCTTAGCTCTGTCCAATTAATGACGCATCTGAATGATATTTTTACCTCTTACATGTGTAAAAATAAGTAACACAGAAATGAAGACTTAGCTCTAAAAGCTGAAGTGGAAGTAATGACACCAAGTCATTATATTTGTTAGGAAGCAGGAGTTAGAACAAAAAGGAAACATTCTAGCATGTGCTAGAATACAAAACACAAAGTGAATTGCCTAGTTGATGTATGTACATGAATTCCAAGGCTTTTGAAGTGTCTTTACAAAAAAGAAAAAATTCTGCTTTCAAAGGATGGTAAAATGTAAGTAACGATCTTGGCTCTCAAGAACATGCCTGACCTATCTCTCCTGCACTTTCCCAACAGGATACAGCACATGCCACTCCAGATCATCCAGTCTATCTGAACTCTCTCACAGGAGAAACACCTCAGAGGGTAGTACCTCAACAGGAATTGGAAGTATTCTGGAGCCATGTGACGAGTCTGAGCCAAAAGTAGCTAATATCGATACTTCTGTTAAACATGCACCATCAGAAAAAGTCTGCAGGTACATTTGACAGCCTTACCTAGCAGAAGTAAAGTGCAATTTAATGTATCACTTCTAAGAGCCTAAATATATTTATTTTTGCAGACATCCTGTAAAGCAAGACTCTGTGGAGTCACAGCTGAAGAGGGTTGATGCTACCAGAGTTGACGCTGATGATATAGTCGAAAAAATACTCCAGAGTCAAGACTTCAGTTTAGACTCAAGTGCAGAAGGTATAGAAATAAATAAGGAAGCTTAGGGGTTTTCCCTGAGCACATTACAGGCCTTAGGCAAATCCACTCTCTTTGTAGTCCCTGTTGCTTCTAGTCATAAGGACAGTCCACATGAATCACTAGATTTTCTCCTTTATCCTGTCTCCCACAAGTTGAAAGACAGTTGCATGACTCAGGTAACCTTGGCAGAGAATTACTTTTAAGCCTGGAAAGAAAAAAACAGGGGCAAATCTACCTACAAAGGTAGTTCCTCCAACATACACCATATGAAGTTTGGTTCCTCATTACTTAAAATATTTGCATCTCAGTGCATCAGTTACAAAACTGGTAGATTTAAAATTATGTAGTTTCACTAGGGCAACATTAAATGAAGCTAACATGTTGATTCCATTGCATTTTAGAAGAAGGTTTAAGATTATTTGTGGGCCCTGGTGGAAGCACTTCTTTTGGAAGCCATCATCTACCTAACAGGTATGTAGCATTAACAACCAGTCCATAAATAATACTCAGCAAAAAATGCATCTTATACAGCAGTTGTTCTGTATATACATCGTTAATCCTTGTATCTTTCTATTCTGTATCATTTAAAAGCACCAAAAGAACAAGATTTCCAGGCTTTAAAACAAAGCACGTAGATTAGTTCCAAAACAGAACTGATGTGCCAGCATTAGAATTATAACTTCCAGAAGTTCTGAAGAGTTTCAGTTCCAAAATTTTCAGAACTGAGCAGTGTTTCAGTATGTACACAGGAAACAGGCACCAGTTTGAAATCTTAGCTCTACAGCCTCACTACATCACTCTCTGGAGCTGGAAGAAAGTCTGAAGTGTTTTCTTACACCTCTGCCTTTACAATATCCAACTTCTATGTCCTCCTGATAACAAGCCTGATTTTCTTCACTTCAATTTTGCTCACAACTCCTTCTGTTTCTCTACACTACACTATTACTGATTCAAGATCTTGTCCATCTTTCAACTACTGGTAGCCCTAAACTCTCTTCTTTGATAATCTGCTTCAGATTATTTTCTTGCAGTTGTTTTAGGAGAGATGTTTTTCCTGTATCTTATCATAAGACCCTCACTGTTGTTCTAAATACATTTATCTGTGTCTATGTGTAAATATAAAGACAATTATTGGCATATGATATGACCAGGGTCAGAGCATAATGTTTAAGGAACTAAAGAGAGGCCCAACAATAACTTCTCAGGAATATTATTTATAATTAATTTTTACTGCAGTATAACACGAAACACTTTAATGTATTACACTGTAGGTTAGTCAGTGGCATGCTAATTCCATGTATTTTCCACACTTTACATGTAGCTGCTGTGGTACTAGCTGCTCAGTTGTGTTTTTTGGGGGGGGAGGTGGATATTTGGGTTTTTTTAAACAGTGAATTTGCTGGTGTGCGATACTTCCTGTTTAGTTTCTAATTAAATTGCAACTGAATTAATTTTTCCCAAACATTCTTTCAGAGTAGGATCTGGAGCTTATGAGCAAGTGGTGATAAAACGCTAGACTAGAATGAAAAACAAGAGGAAAACTCGGAGCTCTGACATTGGTATTTGGTTTTGTTTGCTCTGTGGCAAAAGTTGTCAAAGCCAAGATCAACTCAATGTGGTCTTTTCTTGAAAGGCAATGGAATGTCTCTTGCTTACAGAGCTTCATCCTCTGTGGTTTGAAAGCAATGTATAGCTATGTATACCTTGTGCAAGTAGTTGGACTGTTTTTGTAAGCGCCACTTGACGTTAGTGGAATTGCTTGCTCTTTAAGTTGTGCAAAACATTTTTGGAAGTATGATGAAATGAGAATTCATTATTTCATACAAGAGCTCATTTGTGGTGACGAACTTTGTTCATAGCTTCTTTTCTAAAGAAGATTCTTAAAGTTGGTCTTAAATGAACCTAAAGAAATTAATTACTCAATTTGATCCTACCTGCCATTTTAGTGTTACAGAATCTAATTCTATCAAGTCAACATTATTATTAAGTCAAAGTTCAGGCCTCCACAAAATAGCACAGCTATGTTTTAACATAACAAAAACCTTCCCTTAAAAGTACTGATCATAAATTCATTATAAGGTTGAACTGTAGAGGTGAACTTCACATGCATTTATAAGAAAAAAAAAAACAAAAAACAACAAAAACCCCAAAACCAAAACATGATAGATCTAAACCAACCAGTGACCAGTTCTGTTAAGTGTAAATGAAGTCTAAAGGCTCTTAACACATGAAACATGACATCTGTTTTCATGCAAGTGACAAAAGAAGCGGGATTTCACATTAAAATACTAAGGTACAGTAGTGTATTATCAAGAAAGCTGGCCTGATTGTTAAGTCTGGAGTTCAAAAGCTGCTTCCACAGAAACTCAAATAATGCATGAACCTTGAGATTCAATGGGATAGTACTGTTTACAAACCTAGTCAGTAGTTTACTACCACTTAGAACTTTTTATTGTAGCTTAATCCTTCACAGTTAGTGCTTTGCTTATGTGTTGAATGTGCCTTGCAGGACTGGGGAGGTATAGGGAAATTAAACCATTTACTAAGCAATTTTAGCTTTAAAACTAGGTAAACATCTATGCTATTATCAATATAACTTATTAAGAGCACTTTATTGTAGACATACTCTGCACTCTGAAAAAGTCTTACTGTGCATCAAATTTGTTGAACATTTCTTCCTTCACTATCTGTCCACTGTTACTTTAAGGTCAATGTACTGTATTTAAATTTGCACAAATAATGATTTTGCCTGACAGGCAAGAAAGATGAAAGCTCCCTTAAAATTTTCAATAAGTATGAAAGACTCCATTTTGAAAGGGATGTGGTAGGTGACAGTTCTAATTCAGGCTTGGCGCTACTGTACTTAATTGTAAAGTGCAAATTACTTGTTTATTAGTAAGGCTTAAATAAAAATACAAATAGTGTGGCCATTTCTGAAATTCCTGAATGTTTCAAAATCTACTCTTTGACAACCTTTTATTGAAGAATAAGTAGGCCATATTTAATAGATTATATTAGGAAAAGCAGGCTTTGTTTTCCATAAATCCATAGAATAATTATTACATTAATTTTTGTTTGGGGGGTTAAGGAAATTTCAGACTTTAAAGCCTGAGTACTGTTACTGAATATGATTAATATAAGCTATTTCTCAGATATGGTACTTAAATACGTTTACTTCCTACTGTTAATTATAATCTTTTTACAGTGTTTTAATGGGCAAAATAATTAATATAAAGGTTATATTTTACCTGCTCTTAATAGAAGTGTGGTATTATCCGTTTCTGTCCTCCACAGGAATTTCATTTTAAACAGAAAATACATAACTGCTAATCTACTATATATCTCCCAGAAAATGGTATTTTCTTTTCTTCTTACATAACTAATTTGTACCAAAAGAATCCTACTGCAAGCCAAAGGATGCATGATACTTCAATAAATTATTTGCTTTCAGTACTCTGGAACACTGCTACACTTCTTGGTAAATTTATTAAAACTAACAGTAGTTTAGATGGTAGCTTACTTAAGTTTACTAGGAAAAATACACACAGTTTGAAGAAAGCAGATTTTTTAAAAACATTGTATAGCCATTCATGCAATTCTTAAGGGAACTTCCATAGCCTAGATTTGTATTCTGTGTTAAAAGATGTAGCTAACTGCCATACATTGGGTATTTTGTTTACTGGAAACCAATTATTTTCTTGCCTGAGCAGATCTTTTAAATAGTATGGAAGTTTACATAGAAATCAAGCTTTTAATAAAAGTGTAACCTAGTAATTTATTGTTCTGACTTACAGCTACAGCTCTTTATGAAGTGACTCTCTAATTGTGCATATTTTAAGTGGAATATAACCTTCATATTTAGATGTAGGTTTGTTTTGTTTTTTTTTGTAAACTGTGTTATAAGAATATTGAAGACTCATTTAGGAAACTGTTCAGGATGTATTGGTGGTCTTTTTTTTATTGTATTTAAATGCAAATCTCTCAGACATTCAATAAACTCATGTCTTCAGCTTGGAATCTGTTTCTTCATTCTGTCCTTTTTTAATGAAAAAATTATGAATTTAACTGGAATTTAGTGTCTATCTCAGCTTCCCTACAGCTTTTCAATTTTGAGGCTTACTAAACCTCATCTCTGGTCCACAAAGTATTTAACAGCACTGTTATTAGTACACAGTCATTTATCTGTTTCTCAGAGAGGAAAAGTAATATGTCAGTCTTACACAAATGAAAGATCAAACTTAAAGTGTGAGGCATAGCAGTAAGTTATTATTAAGCAGACTTCACAACTAGCAGTATTTTGGGTAAGTAAGGGTACTCTATATAGACCCTCCTAACAAAATCAATCCTCCTCAGTGAAGTGTACAGACTTGCTACTACTTATTTTATACAATTTATATAACTTTGTAAATTACCTTCTTATTTATCTAACATATTTGGGGTATGTATTTTCTCATCAATGTATTCAAAATACCAAGCCTTTTTGTACTGCAGTAAGCACCTGTTCTTACATTAAAAAAAAATCTAGACTGGTGAAAATTGCAGCTAATTTTAATACAAACTATTTGGCACTCAGATCAGTTCAATAATCAACACATTGTATAGTAAGGATTAAAAGAAGTAACTGTACCACATAAAACCAACTCCACTCTCCACTGTCTTTCAGTACAAAGAAGACAGCGCTTCCAAATTTCAGCAGAATATCCCAGAATTTCTTTTGTAGTTGTTGTCTCTCTTCCGGTTTTATGAATTGACAGGTTCCTTACAGAATAAAAGGCAAATTTCATCAGCAAATACTTGTTTATGATCTCACAGTGGAGAGTTCTCCAGAAACACAAAGTATACATGTATATACATAAAATATTCATAGCTGCTAGTCACCTTACTGAATACCAGCAGCTGCAAATATAATCACTAAGGGGTTTATTAAAATGTTTTGCTTTTTCTACCTCCATGTTTTCAGACTGTTTTAGTGACATTTATATTGTAAAGGAAATGTGTCATTTAGACACTGTTTTTTTAATCTGGAAGGAAAACATCTTGTGAATGAAAATAAGGCTATGCACCAATGTTGCATGCACACATATGCCATATTATATATGTGTGCATATATGGCAACATGGCAATGGGAAAACCATTGTTGTAATATGGGAAAAGATGTTTCCCTTATTACTACATTAAAAAAAAAAGGCAGAGACATGAAGTACTTCAAATACTGTCACTGAACACTTGAGTGGATTTTGTAGACATTCTGCCATGAGAAAACAGAGACAAAGATTAACATAGGAAACATTTATTTTCTGTAATTCTTGAAGCAAAATGAGTAACTGCCTTCTCCCAACTCAGCTGCTCATTCTGGCCTCCTCTCCTCTTCCCACTACAAGTTTCTGTGACACAATTACTTGATTCAATTCCCTGTGTGGCCTCACAGTGGGATCTGCCAAGGCAAAACAGATCATAATATGCCTGTTAACAGTTCTGTGGGACAGGCAATTCCCATTACTGCTTCCTTGTTAAAAGCTAGAAACCAGCAACTGTTTGAGGGTGTTTTTATGTGAAAACTCCAAGCAAACGCTAGCAAACCTTTGCCCAACTACAGAATTGTATGTACAAGTAAAAAGTCCCAACAACTAACCATTATGAGTTAGACAAATTCCAGTTGTAACTGAACGATCCAAACCTCACTTACCAATAAAATGATAACACGCATGGAATAGAGCCTAAAACCATGAAAACCCATGGCCAGAACAACAGAAACACATCAGAGCTACCACATCCATGTGTTTGAGAAATCTCTGGTGGAGACACAATTAACTCATCCAGCTCTCTCCACTAGGCTGCAGGGGTTTACTTATTTAGGTAAGTGAAGCAGTATCTTTAGGATTTACTTATACCACTTCCTCACTTTGTTATTAACTTAAAACAGTGATCAGAAACATTCTGTTCAGCTATTTGACCTATTTACTTGCTTGATAACCTATCAAGTTATACCCCTTATATTCAAGGTACTGCACTATTATTTTTAGTTTTGTATGTCTGGGGTTGCTTTTGGGGTTTTTTGGGTTGTGAGGAGTGGTGTGGTTTTGTTCATTTGGGTTGTTTTATTTTGTGTGTGGTTTGGTTTTTTTTTTGGTAGTGGTGGGTTTATTTTTATTCTACTTTATTTGGATTTTAAAGTTTTGAAAAACCTAAGGGTGACCTGTTTTGAGATGCGTGTGCCATCTCCTGGTCAGTGATATTGTCACATGCATTCTAAAACATTTCACCTTCATTACCTTCCTTTCAGCATGCTCATTTGAGACATCAGAATTCACCTTTTGTCAAACTGCAAGTTGATGTGAGATACAGTAAGTACTGTGGTTATTCACAAATACGCATAATAGTTTAATCAAAAGACCAACCTGACGATGAAGAGGTATGCCCAGTGAATCCTGTGAAACGGCTTAACTGCTCCTGAAAAGACTGTTCAATCCTTTAACAAAAAACTTACTTAACATTGATTTAAGCCAGTGGAAACCTGGTAAGCTAACACACAAAATAGCTTATTTCAATAAAAAACAGCAATCTCAATTTAAATGCTTATTCCCTAAATAATGCTTTTGTATACGCTATGTAATAGCTTCTTTGCTTGCAGTTCACATAGGTATACTAACACGGAACACATGAGGCCAAACATCTGTAGTCTGACTTAAAACCTTTCCCAGGAAAGGCATAAGCAAGAACATTAAAGATTAGCATTTCCTATAGCTATCATTAAAAACTAAACTAACAAGGGTAAAAAGGACCCACAAACCCCTTAAAAACTGGATTACTGTTGATGCCCCTTCACATTAGTCTATCAAATATTCACATAAACCATTTTCGAAGAGTAACTATAAAGAGGGTACACTGTTGTGGAAAACCAAGCAGGTATTTGTATGCAGTTTAGTCAGTTCACAAGACAGTCCTGTAGTTAGATACTACCCGAATACAAAATTTAAAGTATCACTCCAAATCTGATGGAAGAGGAGCATCTTTTCCTTATTTTGAAGTGATCAATCATGCTATGAAGTACACTAAATATAGAAAGTTTCAAGAAGAGATGACACAGGAAGAAGTACGGTTGTAAAAAAAAAATCTTTTAACTATAATAAATGAACTATAATAAACCATAAAATGAACTTGTTCTCATAACAAACCAATGCAACTCTCAAAACAGCTATGCTTATTAGTGTCCTAAGAATATTTACCGATTTTGAATTTTACATTTACGTTAATGTACCAATTATGGCAAGTTCATATCACAACGTAAAAAAAAGTAAAACCATTCTAAACATTGTATTAAAGATGAATTCTTAAAAATCTAAATGGTTATTTTTTCATAACCACTGTCCAAAGGGCATTCAGAAAGGAAGGAGAAGGAGATGGGCCCTTAGAGGCAATGGAACAACTGCTTCTCCATTACAGGAATCCTGACTTCTAAGTGGATGCTTCCATCAAACCGCAGTCCTCACCTGATTTCTCGCATAAATCTGGTTTATAATGGCTGTACGTCAGCTGCTGAGAATTTCATTCCTGGTACATGTGCCCTTCCTGCTTTGTAACTGGGGGAGATTCATCACGTATTACACATGCAGTTCAGCTCTACTTAAGTTATCTTAGTCAATCCAGTAAGCTCAACTATTTCTAACATGTCTGCCTTTCATGTCTACTGAAAGTATTAAGAGACAACAGCTACATGAGGAAATAGAAAAATTTTTCCAAGTGCAAAGGGGCCAGGTTAGCATTCACAGTGACAGGACTTTTTGGTTGGGTTTTCTTTTTTTTTTTTGTTTTCTTTTTAAACAGAGTAGTCAAAGATACCGGTTTCAAATTAATTAATTTCAGCTTCTGGAAAGCTACATGATGCAAGTTATTTCCCAAGCAGCAGTTAACAAGAAATTGGACAAAACAACACTGCTGAATCTACCTTTTATTCCTACCTTACATCCAACATCATGGCACTCTTCCCAAGTATGCAATTTACTGAACAAGAAGCATTTGCAGCATATTCCAATTTATCAGAACAATATCCGGTTTTCACAAAGGCCAAGTATGGGCTTACCTTGAAAGCAGCATCTAAAAATTCAATCCTATTCAGGAAAAGCTTGCTTTAAACCTATGTCCAACTTTTATTATTCAGCACAACCTAACTGTGTTATTAACTATCCCTGGAACTAACAAAAGATTATCAAAACCAATCTAGTCATGACAGCTAGAATATGGTAATAGAAAACAAGGAGAAAAATTTTTTCTTCACAGGAATTAATTCCCTGATTTTAGCCTGATGCTCTACTTCAAAACCTTATGAGTTACTGTGATCTTTGTCAGAAGCACTCATCTTCACTAAATGAGAGAGGTGCTGACGGATGAATACTGGAAAGTTTATAATTTGGTTCTAGTTCACACACTAAACACACCATTTCAGTGAGTTAAAAAAATGTTTTCATTATTTTAACAACCTCATGAGAAATTTGTGATTTAACTATCTTCATGTTCAGTATTGAGCATCACAGCAGAGCCATCACTGCTCAATGTGACCTGGCCAACAACAAGCTTGCTTAACTTCTCAAAGGTACCACAAAGTTGATTCACTCTGGGAAAAGAAAAGATTGTTGCAAGAGGTATAGAAACCACATTTCCACTGACAAATGATTCCATGCTTTTTTCAACAGCCAGTTTCCCAAGATCTGAGAAGCAGTTCACTGAAGGTTGGAATTCGGATTTTCTCTCAGTAGGATCATCATTATTCTCCTCGTGTTCCGACATTAAACGGTTCAGCAGACTTTGCTTAATGATTTGTGCTGTGAAAATAACTTCACTAACCACTGCATTCTGCAGGTACTTCTCATCCTTAAGACTTGGATACACTGCTTTGAAGACCTTTATATCACAGAAAAACACAGAGAACAGTATTTGCTTGTCAAAAAGAGCTTCTAAAATGTAAACATGACTTTTAATTCAATCCTGTTTTGCTTACTACTTTAAATATCTTTGCATAACAGAAAAACTAGACAATATGACTATGTATTACAACTACAATGGTAATTAGGTTAACAGAACTTAAAAAAAATAAACAGGCTTACTTCTTCAATCTATGCTTGTAGATCAATCAAGGTGAAAACCTGCAATTCTTCAATTCTTCTTAATCATTCTCTTTTCCACATTGCTTATCCTAAGGCTCTGGTGACAGTTCCACATCTACATAGATTCTAAACTACTTCTGCACTGTCATCTGGAAACCAGGATTGCAGCTGTGTCTTTCATTCTGCTTCCAGAGTAAAAGATTAAATATGCCCTCACAGATGCAGAAACTGATAAAAAAAGCCCACCTCTAACATCAAAATATGTGAACTTGTACTGTGTTTTACACCGAGATTAACTCCAAGGCAATTAAAGAAACTAAGCAGTCTTATTACCATTAGTTTACTAGGAAGTTCCTTATACCAACACACAACCACTGAAGCCCCAGAGTCTATAACTATGTCCTCTTACTTTCTCATTACTTCTTGAAATGTTGATTTATTAATATGAATTACTTAAATAAAAACTAATTTGATGACATATAAAAGTCTTGTTTAAGCTTAAAGGACACTGATGTCAAAACTCCCTCCATAATGACAGAATACAATAAAACCAATTTCTAGTACATGTCAGTCATCTAGACATATATAAAAGTTTGATGAACATTACAGACCACTTGATTCTATTAAGGGCAGTAGATGACAGGTAAAATATCAAATGTACAGAATGTCTTCATATCTTGGAAACTACTAATAGACATTCACCTATCTTCACATTTCACTTCAGGTCACAAGTCACTTGAATATACATATGCCTCTATAAACAAAGTCAAATACTAGAATATGTTCACTGAACAAGTAACTTAAGGCCTTCTAAGATTAAAGAAAAAAAAAAAACCAATGAAACAAATCAATATACTTTGCTTTTTGCAGTGTTACTCCATGTTATCTCCAAAAAAGAAAAAAATTCCCTTTGATTTATACTACATAGCACCTACATGCACTGGGCTTTGTTGGACTGACACACTGCAACACACAGCAGAGGACTATACACAAAAAATTATCTCATGTTATCTAAAGGTAAAGCCATTTAGCACTACATACCAAAAAGGTTTCATGCCTACAACTATAGAACAGGTTTCTTGGAAAGATGCCATGCCTTTACAAAAATCTGAACTCTCTACCTGAATACAGATAATAGGATGTAATATCAAATACTAACAACTATGGCAAACCATACAAAATAGGTCCTGTTGATCCAATTTCTGGGAAGTGTCTTCTTTCTCATAATATATTTGACAAGACTATGCATTTTTTGCAAAAGATACACCACTAGAAATGCTTTTTTAATGCTTTTTATTTTTTATGTATCTGAAAAACAAACTTAACACCAACAACCACATGACAAAAGAAAAGGAATGATTAGAGGAAAAATCGTAACTGTCATAGAATGCCTGGAGGAAAGAAAATTTTCATTCTAAAGATATCACTATGTCAATGTAAGAATGATCATCCATATTGCTATTTCACAAATAACCTAAAACTGTAAGGCCTTTATACAACTAGAAACACAAATCATGTACTTAGGAGACTTTTGATCTGACTGTATGTGTTAATCAGAGCTAAGATTGGATAGTGACAGTAGGCCACAGTAAGAAGACCTTTACAGCCAAGTCATACAGAATTTTACCCTTTGTTCACCCTCCTAAAGAAAGAAAATAATACTTACTGTTTCGTAAACTGTTTCAGTGGGTTTCTCAGACTGAGTGGTTACACTGATTTGAGGGTATTTTTTAAAAAACACACCTATTTGAGTACAAAACCCAACATTCTCCATTCCTCTTGGTGGGTGCCCCACACCAGTAAATTCCACTGAGTAGCCATGACATCTAGCAGTCTCTAGAGCCCTAAGAAACAAAACATTCTGGTCATACTAAACATTAATCTTTTAATGTGATAAAGATGAGTTCTCTAACAGAAGCAAGACCCTGAACTTGTGAATGCTAGAGCAGACTTTTCTTTAGCAATACTCACATGCCTGAAGATAGGCACTGTCAAAATTTGCTGAATCAGAGCTGTAGTCATATGCCTACCCCCGCCTGACTCATTTAGTATTGGTAATTTAGGAAACCAAACATGACTTATTTCTCAAGTATTTGCATAGAATATGCACGTTCACAGCTACTTAGTGTCTTAAATGCAATGAAAGTGAGCTAAAACCTACCAATTTTAGAGAACAATTTGAAAAGAACTCGTAAAAGACATACACACCACAAAACAAGAGACCAGTTGATAGGCAAGAAAAGCGAGGTTTGTTACAAACGTACAAAGAATGAAAGCTACCTAATCAAGATTACAACAATATACATGACACCTAAAAAAACCCCAATCTTCTAGTACTGCACATTAGCCAGTGTGAAAAAGCGATGGAGCAGGGAAGTAAAATGGTACTACCTACTCGCAACATTCTCCAACAAAAAACTCCTTCAGCAGTATCAGTAATTTTTAATTCACACACATCCAGAAGTAGAACCTAGGTTTACTTATAGGCTGTATAAGGGGTCTCTAAGGTATTCATCGTTTAGCTAATAATGCAAGCAGGTTTTAAGATCATTATTTCAGGGAAAATATACACCTCAAGCTTTGCAGAACTACATAGTCAAAAACCACTCCATGCTTCGAAGTCTATGGCAAAACAACAAAACACTAATTTAAGGGGCAAATTTTTTAAGACTGTTTCTAACTAAAAGTTAGCTACTGAGGTATGGCATCCTTTCTGTACCATGCATTTTCTTCCATAACTGCCTGACAGCTGAATGATAACACAGGATATATATATCCTATTCTCTCTTTGTTTTTATTTCATCTACTGATATTAGACTAACATACAGCTCATGCAACCCTCTGTTTTGTACAGATGCTCTGCACAGAATCTGTCATTGAGCCAAGATTCACTAAACTATACTTAACCTCATTCAACATGCTATGCTACTATGAATATTTGATATGTCTATTGGCATGCTCTTACAGAAAGATCTGGACTAACAGAACGCTTTGATTATACCAGCATACATAGTGAGCACATTCCTTGGGGTTTTACGAAGCATTTCTGTAACAGGCTACTATTATGTGCAAAGGTTAATTATTACTTTACACTTCAAACATATTAATTGTAATTAAGGCATACAAAAATGTTTAAGAAATAGTAAAAAAAAAAAAAGTTTTAAATATTTTTTTGCAGATAATTTACAATCAAAGAAAGACAACAACCACCCTAAAATACAAGCCCCACAGAATATGCTTAGCTATTTATAATAGCAAAGAAATATTTCACCAAATCAGGTGTGGAAGCCCACTGACACCAAACCACATACACAAACCATTTGAAAACACATAGCTGTTCCTTTCTCGCACTACTGAACACTCAAAGCTGGCTGGCTGTGATGTTCAGCAAACTTACCAGCTTTGAAACTGCAATTGGGTCCATTCAAATTTGTGGTCCGGATTTCTGAATAACTTCACTCCTGGAAGTAAAGGGTTGAATTCAGAATTTGGAGTACTGATAACAACCCTGCTTGGCGCCATGAAACCAAACACCACTTCAGGAAACTTCTTTAGTTCCGATTCTTCCAGGTGCTCTATTCTGTAAAAGATAAGTTTATGTATGTGTTTAATAACACCCTACTATATCTTAATCTTCTTAACAACCAGTCAAAAAAAACCCTAAACCTGTATCTGTACCTTGGAATTTTAAGCTTAGCACTGCAATACTGGCACTGGCACTGTGGCTGAGTGGCAGCTTAGAGGTTTTTGTCTATGACAATTTCCTCTTTCATTGTGTACTTTTTCCATCAATATCCTTTTCCTGCCATTATGCTAGCACCACATCAGTTTCTTAGTATGCTTAATTTAAGCACATGTTGGAAGATGACATACTCTGCTACTCTATTCATTGTAAGGTTTGATCAACTCTGTTTCTAGTACAGACAAAATTCCAAACCAGGCCCTGATGAACTTGGAAAAACATAGTATGTTGGCTTAATACTCACAGTTCAATGCACGTTACCAAGTCAAAACCAAGCATGCAAGGATCTTTATGGGCAACTGAACCATGATGCAAGGTAACAGTTAGGGATCTTTCACGTGGTTGCAAATAATCAACAGGGAGAGGAGACAACTTATGCCTACAAAAGTATTGAAAATACAATGTTACCGAAAGAACCTTAGGGCAAGATAAATTGTTTGTGCAACTGAACTAGCTAACACCTTACACAGATCCCTTGCAAATCTCGAAAAGGTTAACAATTTTACAGGGATTTAAAAAAAGTAAAAAAACTTTCTAATACAAACACTTTTTATGACCATCTACAGTGAGACAGAAAATCCAGCAGTTGCCCTGATAGCTACAAAACTTTCCACTGTACTCTCAAGCCATTTGGAAAGATGTTTTTAATTTTTACAGTAGCTCAGCTCTAGACATAGTTTAGAGGAATTTGGGGGAATTATTAGGCAATCATATAGACTTATTTTTCCCAAATAAAAACAAATAAAACATATGAGCAAATTTCATTCTGAAATATTACATCACACAAAACACACAAACATGAAATGTAACACCTCAGAGTCCTGGAGTAATGCTTGGACTTGATCATCTTAAAGGTCTTTTCTAACATATCTGATTCTACAAATTGCATGGTACTCATCTAATGTGTAAATTTGTAAAGTACATTCACAAATGCTTTATTTCCCAGGTGTACACAACACACCTTCAGGGTCATTCCATGACTTGGATCTCTGGCACATAAAGTGATGTTAAGCACATCTACAGCCAGGTGCACGGACCCAGGTGCAATGTAGCTAACAACAATAGATAGCTCTTCATTTGCCAAGCTGGTATTTCCACATTTACCCTTGTTTTGAATTTCTTTACATGAAACAAGGTTAACATGCCACTAGGTCAAGCCAAACACAAACCTTAAATTAACAAAATGCAAGAGCTTACATTTTCTCTTTCATTACACTTCCACAGATATCTACCCCAGCTAACACTTCAATGCAACTGCAGAATTTCAGCATACAAAGAAGCGTGCAGTCAGCACATCCTAAATCTGCCACCTGTAAATTAGATATTAAACAACTTGTCAATGCTGTGCATTTCCAAAAAATTTCACCTTTCATAACAAATTTTGTATTTATTTCAAAATAACTTTTTAATGACGAATCATTTCAAAATCATAACCAAAATATACAGTTGCAAGCAGGATAGATGTGGATTTGAAATTTCTTTGAAGACCCTACAAGATACTTTAAATGCATTAACTTTCTGTTTTTACAGCTATAAACAACATTCCACTGACTCTGAAGATTATCTTCCATATGAGTAATTATAAGGTATTAACTATGAAAGCTGTGGCAATTTTCATGTCCACTGATGTTCACTGGACTGCTCTCCATCCAAACCACTGTGAATACAAACCAAATCCCACTGTTCTTTCTCAGTCCAAAGTCAAGGTTGGAGGGCTCAGCTCTCGATGCGTTAAGTCATGAGTTGTTTCTATTCAGCCTACCCCTAACCCTGCAGGTAAACAGAAAGTTTACACACACACAACACTTTACACCCCAAGTCAGAAAATTCAAACACTTAAACACAAATCCTACTCTCATAGTTACACCCAAAAGCACATCTCAGTGCCATGACCTCTACATCTACAAATACATAAATGCACTGCTGCGGTATTTCTCACAAATTTGTTGCATGTTCCCGAAGACATTAACACCATTTTCAGACCTAAACCTGAAGACAGAGGTATTCCACAACTTCTTGCGTTTTCAGAGGAGGGACACATTAGAAAAGAGCAAACAATACAAAACAACCTGTATATTAACTTACTTAAATTTTCAAAACGAATATCAAAGCAACAGCCCTGGGGGGGCATCAGGGTTATTGCCAAAATACCTAATGACCTTTTTTTTTTTTACCTTTAATTTCTAACATAAAAAGACAAAACATACCAACCTTCTTAGGTTTGTATTTCTCCACTAAATCTTTAACAAACTGGTAGCGTTGTCTGTACAAAGGAGGTGAAAATTTAGTAAATCCTGTAAACTTTTCTTCCTTAAAGTTCTTATCCATAATATTTTCCTAATACTGAAACAGAAAGGTAACACTTATCTTTCAGATTACTTTATAACATACGAAATTACAGTTGGCTGTTTTCAGCAGTCAATTCTCAATTAAGCAGAGGTAGACTTGATCCCCGTTTTATTCAGAGAATGTCGAAAACATAGCATTTAGCAAGATCAGGCACTATCTGCTCCTTCCACATATGATGCAAATAACCTTTTAATGAACCATTATATATATATATGCAATCATTATACAAAATTACGTAATTTATCACTCTCCATCCAGCATACCTACATAGCGTTTACACAACTACAGCTTATTTCATCTTCCCTAGCTCTTCTGGCAGGAGAGGAAAAATTGGTAATTTCTCACTGAGGTGCCTGCTTTCTTGCCTCTCACCTATTATTTTCTTTATCTTACAACTCAAATGACTCAAATAACAACCTATGGAATAACTACTATATAGTGCAAAAAAGAAATGCCCTGCTGGGCCTCAGCTTCAGATCTACAATGAGCTAATCTTGTTATTAGTGCCTGTATTCTATAAATTAACATAATCCAACACGGCACTAAGAGTCACAGCTATTAGTGCAATTCCAACTCTCCCACCTTTTACTAAAAACTACACTTCAGCGCACATAAATATTTAACAAGATATATCCCCACTAAACTTAAAAATAAGGCCCTAATGAACGACGACTGAGCTCCCAAGGGAATCGCATTAAGTAAAAGACGGTGAGCACAGAACTCCCCAGCACCAGCAGCCTCAGCTCACTACCGGCTCTAACGAACACCAGGCTCAGACAACCAAAGCAACTAGACTGAGCCTGCGGACAACGTGAACGCACCAGAAGATCTTACATATGTAAACGTAGATCTATTATACATATATATATTTATCAAAAGAAGAAGTGGCCTCAGTGTTCAGAACAATCACACGTCTCCCCAGAAACAAAATAAGCCTGCTGAGGAAAGAACTCACAAGCACCCACCGCCAGCCCCCCGCAAACTCCACGCCCGCAGGCTGCGCCCCGGCCCTCCCCAGACTCTGCACAAGTCCGGCCACGGCTACCTCAGCCCTCGCCAGCGCTGCCTCAGGGTAGCCACACCAACCCGGCCCTGGCCCTCCTGTCTCTCCAAAGGGCCACTCTCCGCAGCGACTACGAAGTGTATGGTGGAGCGACGCTGGCCTTCCCCGGCCTCTCGATAGCTTTCCCCTCAACCCCTGCCTTTAGGCTCCCCCACGCCCCTCCCTGCATTTTCTCTCCCTAGGACTAACCTCGAGGAAACAACCACCTCCCCTGCGAAAAGCGCGCAGGAGCTGAGGGCGGGCCCTCACCAGATCACCTGAGTAACAGAAGCCGCCTGTCTCGAAGTTCTCCACCCCGTGCGGGTTATTGGAGTGGCACCTACCCCTTCGGCCGGAAACGCCTCGATGCTGCGTGGTTGTAGGGAGCGTTGGGAAACTGCTACCCTTTAACAGGGAGGTGGGTGTTCCCGTCTGGAGCTTCAGCTCACCAAAGCAGCGCGGCAAAACCTCTGTTTACCTCTTTTCACGTAGGGTGGTGTCTTTTAATGTTTAACGGAACAGAAGCACAAGTGTGATGAGGAACAGCTTAAGGGAATTGGGGCTGTTTAGTCTGGAGAAAAGAAGGCTCAGGGGGGAATCTTACCCCTCTCTACAACTACCTGAAAGGAGGTTGTAGTGAGGTGGGGGGCTGGTCTCTTCCGCCAAGTAACAAGTGGTAGGACAAGAAATAACCGCCTCAAGCTGCACCAGGGGACGTTTAGATTGAGTATTAGGAACAATTTATTCACAGAGGCAGTGCTCAGGCACTGGAACAGGCTTCCCAGGGAAGTGGTGGAATCGCTGTCCCTGGAAGTGTTCTAGAACTGTAAATGAAGCCTTTAGTGACACAGTTTAGTGGTGGACTCGGCAGCCCTGAAGTAAAGAGTGGACTTGATCTTAACGGTCTTTTCCAACCTGGATGATTTTACAATTACCAGCAAATGAGCATCCAGAGATCCACCTGCTGTTATTTATCTCTGCCTGTGCCAGCTTCCCTCAGTATATTAAAAGGTGATTGGGAGTGGTGGTGGCCACTAATTTTTACACTAAAAAGGCAAAAATTCCCCTACTGCTCGTGTTGGTACTGCCAGGTGCTGTATGCTTCAGTACAGCTCCTTAGCTTGCAGATGGATTTGTTACTCTCCATAACAGAAACTTAAGGCATTGCAGTGGTGGCATGTGATGTGAAGTCCAAGTGTCCTGTCAAGGTCACTGAGGTAGACTACACACAACCCAAATCAGATCAATGTATTTTGCAGCAATTTATGGAGTATTTTCCACATTGGAGCAGGATTTGTCCCTCAAAGAGCAAGTAGCTGTGTGGATGAACAGTGAAACTGGGAAAGAAAACCTGGAGCTGAATTGCTTGTTACTTTTTCTGTTCACAAGTATGTAAAACATTTTAGTAATGCTATATAAAAAGAGTTGTGCATCGACTCTGCCCAGGATTTAAGGAAAGGGTTGGTGGGAGTGAGGGCAGAGAAGATTTGTTAGCTAAATGATATTTCAATGCTTTTTGGTTTAGTTTTCAGAAAATACTGAAAGTCTTTATGCTGAAACCTGCCTGTGATTGTTTAACCTTGACTCTTGTTTAATGCTGTAAGTTTTGCAGGATGTGGCCTATGCAGAGCATATATAAGTAGCTAACAACAGTCTAGCTATCTTGTTTACTTAATAGCTAGGGAATGTATCTAAGTGTGCTTGCAAACTGGTAATCCAGCCACTTTCAATTAGTTCAAGATACTGGAATGATTTCATTCTGTTTGAAGCCGTTTTTTAGGTTTTGGAATATAACAGCAATTTTCTTTATATTATTTTTGGCTTATGAGTACTAGAAATATGGAACCACCCATACAATTTCACAGTTGGTGTCTTTTTCTGTTACAACAGTGAAGTGCTAGCAACAGTATATGAGGCAGCCTATGAGCTGCTATTTCAATGAGAGTTTGGCTTGCAAATAGGGTTTAGATACATAAGGATCAGTGATGTTACAACATGTATAGAGCAAACTTCTTTTAAAGTTTATATATAATACTTGGTCAATTACTTTTGTGAGATTTTTCCTCAACAGGCTTTAAAGACCTGCATAACCCAATTTGGCTGTAAGCAGAAACTATGTGTAGAGAATGATTCCCATTAAATGCCTTTGAGAAGTCTAGTAAATTGATTTTAACTTTTTAATTAGGTCCTTTTTAGCAAAGAAAATAAACTGTTATTGAACTAAGGGTGTGAATACCTTGCACAAGAAAAGATAGGTTCAAGTCTCTTTGTTTTATAACTCAGTTGTTCTTTTTGCTTGAATCAGAGTTTAATCCTGAACTATCATTTACTACTTGTGTCTTAATTAGACAGTCCATAAACTGTGGATAATATTTGTATCTCAGTGAAATATTGTAAAGTTTATTAATAGAAGTCTTTAATGTCCTGGGTTAAAATGAGATAGATTTTGGTACCCTGTAAAATTCTACTCATAAGTCAATATGACATTATTAAGAGAAAAAAAAAAAGGGGGGGAAAGAATAGTAGTGAAGTTATACAGAAATTTGCAACAGATTGTGAATTCACACCATTTCCTTTGTAAGACTTCACCCAAAAATGTACCACTGTAAGTAAAACCTTCAGAATTATCAGATGTTTAATTCTCCATTATCAAACAATGTAGTCATAGAAATCTCTGTTTTCATTGTTTTGTATTGGGTGGCAAAATTGACTAGAGATCACATCTTTTGAAGATTGGCAACATGAAAGAAATAGACAGCCCTATTAGTAGTTTTAAGCTGCACAATCTGCTTTGAGACCAGGGAATCTGATCTTCTTGCTAGAAAAAAAAATATTTGAAAAAATATTGTGATTATTCCTCATGAAATTTATGCATTCTCTCATTAAAAAAATAATCATTTAATATGTCTAAAGTCTGTTTTGGTCCATCGTGTCACACATCTCCCTCCTTCATGCAGTGGTGTATCTACTTGTCATGACATCATAGAATCATTTCTGCTGGGAGGGACCTTTAGACGTTATCTAGTGCACCCTCTGTTCAAACAAGGTCCAAGTTGATGACGTTCCTCAGAAACTTCAGCTCAAGGGTATTTCTAACATTACAATCTGTAAATTCAAACTGAAAGTTCAGGTTGTATTTAGTTAAGTATCCCCACAAATTAAGCAAGCTATTTTTAGAGAAGCATTTTACTTTTGTACCATACAAAGAGCAAAAAATATATGACTATACTGGAATAAAAGTTGCTAAAACCTATTTTATCCTTAAGTGTTTGGGATGAGAAAGAGAACTGTATGCAGTTCCTGGACTTTCCCTTTGAAGCTGAAGTGCACATAATTAAATGTGGTAAGAGTAGGCATCTAATGCAGCACTACTGCCAGAAGACACTGCACTGATATTTGACAGAAAAATACATGCAGCAATACTGCTTAACCTATAATTCAAGAAGAGCTAACAGGCATTCCTCTCACACCAGGTTCAGAGGATGTTCAGTGACTAGGTACTGATACTTTTCTCCTGAGATTCAACTAACAGAGTAGGCCTGTTTGAGAAAATTCAGAATTCATCTGTTGAATGAGAAGGGAGGCTAGGCTTTTGCATACAGCACCATCCTCTTACTTTTTTTATTATTATATATATAGTTCCTTGAAGTTCTCCTTGTTCAAGTGTGTGTTTGTTTTGGCTCTGTTCTGTATAAAGACCATCTGGGATGCTTGAGGAAAGAAAATCTCATTTTGAGCAAACAGCTTCCTAGTTTGCAGGTGTAAAGGTTTCAGCATCACCACCAAAAAGGATCTGCATAAGAAGAACAAAAATGTCATGCAGAGGAAAACCACTTGAGGTTTGAACCATACTGACTAAATATTCCAACAGCAAAAGATAAACACATGAAAACACAATCTGGTAACATAAATTACAACAGAAATACAGGCTGTCTTGAAATGATTACACAAGACATTAAGAAAGTGCTCAGAGAGTCAAGGATACCCTAAAAAAAACACACCAGAATCAATCAGCTTCAAATTCAGTACTCTAGCTAGCTGTCTCCAGAGCAAGATTACCTCACTGCTACAACAACTCCTTAGAATTAATTTTGTGGTTAGTTCTTTAATTTCATGAGATTGTTAAATGGATGTTTGCTGCCTCAGGATGGTCGAGTCCTCTGCTAATAAATGGTTTTGTTAGTATCTTTGGGACAAGGAGGCCAAAAGGAGGCTGGACAAGTTATTCCTAGAAAAGGGGAGTGCTTTTCTAAGCTAAGTGAAGAGCTTAGATAGCAGAGCAGGCAGTTTAGAGAAAATGGTAACTGTCAAAACTGAGCCCTGATAAGAACACTTCTCTGCTACAGTATGAGCTCTAAGATATGTTAAAGGGCCAGATTAATGAAGATGAGTCACTGTTTCTCAGGGCTTCAGTTTGTAATGAAGAGTGAAGATGTTCTATTTACAAGGTTTTCAACATCTAATGAAGAGTGATTATACTCTATTTACAAGGAGGTAAATACTGCTGGAAGTATTTAAATTCAAAATCAATTACTTCTCAAATTCAAAATATAAATAAGTTTTAAATAGTATACAACTAGAGATGCTATTTCCACAGATGCTTCCAAACCAACTTCACTTTGCATCCCTTTCCTTTTGCGCTGAGCAATGCAGCGCCCTTCTCTGTGTACAATGTGTCTTGTCCTAGGTTGCTGTCACTTTGGTGGGCTTTCAGTTATTTCATTGCACATTCATTCCATGTTTAGAATCTCTTGGCAATTCCTGTACATTCGGTTTCCCTTTTGTACTTGTGGTTAAAGCTTGACATCAAAGTTTGTAACTAGTTTTTTTAATGTATTATTATTTTGCTTTTGCAAAAGAGCGTGCAGCTAAAAACCTGCTGGAAAACTTTGAATAATGAGTTAAACGTAACCTTGACATATTTAAGTTTCAGGCAAAACTGAAGGAATTTATCTTTTGTTTCCCGCTGGCATTTAACAGTTACTTTCTTAAATCTTAATGCTTTAACCTAATTCTCATTGTTCCGAGTCTGTATGCAGTATTACTCATTTCCGAAGATGTTCAGCTTGAATTTAGCAGCACAGTTTTTTTTTTGGTGTATGACAAACCCTCAGAAGCTGCTCTACCTGCTGGCAGAGCAGGCCTCATAGCCAGCGCTAGTTTTAGTGCGCCAGCTTTGCTGTACCCTGGCCGCAGATACACGTTTCCTCAGAGATCCCTGCAAGCTCAACGACTTTGACCTTATTTGTTAGCGCCGCCGGTGCTCGCTCCCCTGCTGCGCCCTGCTCTCGTTAGCAACGGCCAGCACGACCGATGGCCCCACTACCGCATTAGCTAAATGTCTGGCGTGGACTGTGGCGTTTCGGTGACAGTAGCTGTCCGACCGCCGCGCACTGTGCTCGGCCTGGCCATTAGCGAGCCTCGAGCAAAGGACAACGCGATCCCCGCGACCCAGAAACGAGAAAGAAAAGCTGGCGACAGGTCTCGCCTTTAAGCTACGTGAGGGGCTGGCGGCTGAAAGAGAAAGACCTCCACAGCCACACCGCGGGAAGGGACCAGAGGAAGGGGGGGTATTCTCGCGCCCAGTGCCGCTACTCTCCCCCGCTGGGATTGGCCGGTTCAGTCCCGGAAGGTGCTTCCGTCACTTCCGTGGAGTCCGCCATCTTGTCAGCGGTTGGTGGAGGCTGCGGCTGGCTCAGGAGTCCGCGATCTGGTGTGGTGTGGCCCGGTTGTTCGTGCGCCCCGCCGGCCGCGTGCTGCCGCCCTGCCCCGGGCCTGAGCCGCTATGGCCAACAACAGCCCCGCCGTCGGCGCTGGGAACTGCCAGGGGCAGCAGGCGGCCCAGCACCAGCCTGGTGCCGTCCCACCGGCCCAGCAGCAGCTGCAGAGCGGAGCCCCCAAGCCGGCGGCCTCAGGCAAGCAGGGGAATGTGCTGCCACTGTGGGGCAACGAGAAGACTATGAACCTGAACCCGATGATCCTCACCAACATCCTCTCGTCGCCCTACTTCAAGGTGCAGCTCTATGAACTCAAGACTTACCACGAAGTGGTGGATGAGATCTACTTCAAGGTGAGCCTGCGGGCCGCGCCCCGGGCCCCCCGGGGCTGCGCTGGCACTTGGCCCGAGCCTCCTCGTGGTGGGGGTTTTTGAAAGGGGGAAGACTTTGGTTGCTGCTGGTTCTCTCTTTTGCTTTCCTGTCACTTATCATGCTGTGAGCGATGGGAGCAAATGTATTTTTTAGTGCTTGATTGGGGATTTAACGGTGCTGTTTTCCTTACACCACAAACGTGTTCCGCTTCGGATTTGAAATAATGGAGTTCCAGGTTATTAAGTGGGCAGCGTGAGCCGGAGCAGTGGGGATGAAATGGCCGTCTGAGGACCGCGCTCTCATTTGAAGGGAGAGGAGACCCGATCTGCATGTCACTTCACAGACGGGCACTGCGCGCAGCCCAGGAGCTGACGGCGCTGTGTAACTGCGCAGAAGTGATTTCAGCAGGAGTTTGCATGTGGCTTTCTTCCTCAGAGGTCAGGATCCACCCCTCGCACCCAGTCAAAAACCTGTTCAGTTTAGTGCTGCTTTTGGTGTTAAGTAGGCAGTGCTGGGAATATAACTGAACGGTATCAGTGCACCCATGTCTCCGTTCTTGTTTGTTAGCAGTACTGAATCAGTTTTGCAGCAAGGCTTCCACCAAGCCAGTCTCTCAGGTGGAGGTATGCATAATTAATGCTCATCAACACAGCGCCATCCTTTGTTCTGATAATGAGAGCAAAACTTATATAATTTAGAGCTGATGTCTTCAGTCAGCTGTGCTTTGGTGGTGATTGAGGTGTTTTTTTTTGTCGGGTGAATTGATTCTACTTGATGATGTTACTGTGTCAGAGGGTTTCAGTATACTTGGAAATAAAAATAAAAGGTAGCCTTTTTGTCTTATTTAAGCAGGGGAAATCTAGTTACTTAGGGCACTGTCATTAAAAGTAACTCCACAGAAGTGTTTTGAGATTTTTTGGCATTGTTCGCACATACTTATGAAGACAGTACTACTATTTTTCATCTTAACGGTAGCACTTCTCTCCTTGCCTCTGTCATTTGGAGTGGACTACTCAGTTCTCCTAATACTTAAAGTAACATCGATTGTTGACAAAGCTTCTTTTCAGTTAATTTACCACTTGCTGCATATTAGATAAATCTTTATTACTGTCAGAATTGAAAGCAGCAAAGTTTATTTTTGCAGTTGATGGCCAGTGCTGAAAATTTTTTAGAAGAAACCTATGTGATTTGTCTTCTTAGTATTGGTAGAGCTTAACTGCAGTAGGTCATATAGTTCATTTGCTTGTCTCAGTGTTTCATTCCTTAAGTGTCTTAAATTGTGTAAGAAATTTGATAAACCATTAACTATCTGCTTATTAATCCAATGTAAATAAAGATTGTTTACGCTAATTGACAGTTTATTCTGTGTTCTAAATAAAGAGAAAGCTCAGCTTCTTACTCAATAGGTGTGAGGGAGAAGATGACCTGATGGTTAAGGTACTTCACTGATGTTCAGATGATTTGAGTTCTGTTCATATTTCAAGATTTCTGAACAATTGCAGACTTTACCTCCTCCCCCTTCCCCCTCCCCTTGAATGAGCACCATGCGCACCGTAGCAGCTGTATTTTCAGGTGTATTTGTTTGGGAACCAAAATAAGTGCCTCATTAGAAAAAACTGAGAATGATGGGTGCTGGTTTATTGGGAGAGATGACCTTAAGTTACGCAGGCAGCTGGTGATAGGGACCATCTTTGAAGGTATGGATTCTGTCCAGGTATTTGAATATATTCACTTGTAGTTCTGGTCTTGTTTCAGTTTTCTTATCTGCAAAGTGGATGACTTTCTCTTCTTTATCCCCGATGTTAGCACCATGTGCATGCCTTTAACTTCATTTAATCTGTTTCTTCCAGCAAGTTAAGCATATACAGCAGTCTTTGTAGCATCGAAACTTTAAGTACTCCTGTGAAATGAGTATTGTTGTAAGGCCTTCTGGGTTTTTTCTTTGTTTGTTTTGTTTGTTTTAACCAGCATGTTTATTTTGATTGTGGCTAATAAGTAAAAAAATGAAAACTGCCATTGTGATAGTATTGTACTTGATCCTTCGACTAAAAAAAAAACTTTCTATTTCCTGTGAGAGGCAAAAGTGTAAAAAATGAGAAGGATGTGCAGTATTGTTTACAAAGTATTTGTGAACTTCTTGTATGATGCAAATAATACAGGAAGTCAAGTGGATTTTGATTTCCGCAGTACTGGCATCTCACAAAAAAAAAAAAAAGCACCCAAGAGAGTTCAGCAGCTCCAGCCGTTGGCATATCTCTGATTTCAGGTGATCGTGCACTTAGTTTTGTTTCAAGTATTGTTAAAGCGTTTTGAGTGTAAACTACAGGCCACAAAATCTTATCCCAGATCCATTGTAACACTACTGTATCGTTTTTGCTTGCTTTTTAAAGTTGATGTGTTGACGAAATGTACTTGCTTATTGAGTCAAATTTAACTTCTCTGCATTTCACAATTTCAAATATAGCTTGAACGCTTTCATAGTTCTTAAATCCCTTGTGATTTATTGTCAAATTTGTGGAATGGTGTTGGGTAACTGTGTTTGTGCACTTGCTTCTAAATGCATCTTAAAAGACTGGAATTAGGGAAGATTTATCCAATTAGTACTTAGAAACCATTTTATCCAAGAACATCACTGCAGTGTACAGAAAAAGACCCTTTTTCCACTACACACTACACTTGATTGACGTTTTAATTTTTGCCCTAATTTTAGGTGGTACTTAAATCTCTAGCTAAATTCATGGAATATGACTATGAGACTGTAGATTTTGACTTCTGTACGTGTCATCAGCAGGTGTTACTAAACTTGGTTAGGAGATAGTTTAAATGAAAGTAATAGTTTGGTTGCCATAGAAAATGGTAATGATGCAATTTAGTCATAAAGTACTTGAAAGTATGTGGATCATAGAATAAACATGGATGCTTGCTTTGGGGGTGTTTGGGGGTTTTATGTTTTGTTTGTTTGTTTTTAAAGTTAATTTGTCTAGCTATAATTTCTTAATGTGGTAATTAAAAAACCCAAATGTTTTGCTTTAATGACAAAGCAGTCTTGATCTTGAATTTTGCAGAAGACAAGCTATTTATGATTGATTAGGATATCTGTTGTTTACATTAGGTTTGTGTAAAACATTATGGAGGTTGAAACTGTAATTTTCTTTTTTTCCGCCAACTCTTTCAGGTTACACATGTTGAACCATGGGAAAAGGGGAGCCGAAAAACAGCAGGCCAGACAGGGATGTGTGGAGGGGTAAGTAGAAGTACGTGCCTCCTTACATTTTTCTGTCTGATAAACAAATTTCTCAGCATAGGCCAAAACTTGCTTGTATGTTGGCTCAGTCCGTAGATGTAACAATGTTTATTACAAAGAATTGATGTGTTCCCCATGCTTCCAGAGCTGTGGATGCAAGAAGTGTTACATTTTCCACACAGATCTATTTGCAGATTTAGATTTCATCCTATGTTAGTTATAGAATCATAGAATTCTGGGTTGGAAATGACCTTAAGGTCATCTACAAACGCCCCTGCCATGGGCAGGGACACTTTCTGCTAGACCAGGTTGCTGAAATCCCCCTCCAGCCTGGCCTTGAACACTGCCAGGGATGGAGCATTCACCACTTCCTTGGGCAAGCTGTTCCAGTGCCTCACCACCCTCACATGGAAGAACTTTTTCCTTATGTCTGACCTCATCTATAGTTCTCATATTCTTTTGCAGAGCTGGGGCAATGTCTTTGACTTTCAGCGTTGTCACCTAACTTTTTTCTTCCTAAAGGTGCGTGGTGTTGGAACTGGAGGAATTGTGTCTACTGCGTTTTGTCTGCTCTACAAATTATTTACACTGAAACTCACCCGTAAGCAAGTGATGGGCCTTATAACTCATACAGACTCCCCATATATTAGGGCTCTTGGATTTATGTATATTAGGTAAGTATCAATATAATAAAACTAATGATTAATTTAATACACAGAAAGCTGTATTAAGATTCTGCATTCTTTTTGTACTTAAAGGTACACACAGCCACCTACAGATCTATGGGACTGGTTTGAATCCTTTCTTGATGATGAAGAGGTATGTCGGCGAGGGTAATAATTCATTTTCTTTTGTTTCTTTTCATGTAACTGCTATAAATTTAAACATTCCTTGATAACGTTTTCTGTAGTTTGAATGTTGCAATGTTATGTTCTTGTTATTTAATTCATTAGTGCAAGAAGCAGGCCTGAGCTGGGACCTGGGTCATTAAGCTTAGGTTTCGAAGATTTAACAGAATTGTCTATTGCTTAGGATGTTTCTGTGTCAAATACTACAAAGCCACATGAAACAGGTTTATTAAACCAGACTACAGACAGCAGGCGCTGTGAGTGTAGCTTCCATGCAGTTTTTAGAAAAAGAAGGGTTTTTCAGCAAGGTATATTCATTCCTCAGAGTGCCAAATTTGTGTTTTGCATTAATGGCTGGAACAGGAGGAATTGGTGCTTAACATAGAAGAGTGGGAAGTACATAGTGGAAACCAAGACTGGCCTTGAAAAATCCACCAAAATCTCTATGGTGGTTGTTCATGTCCAGGATTTTTTCAGAGTAGAAACAACCAGCCTAATTACTGTGTAAGGTGGCATTGTTTCTAGTAATGTCTTTGTTAATGGGGCAAACCCCCAAAAGAAACAGTGAAGAGACCACATTATTATGTGGTCAGATAGGAGTATGCTGTTTGTACGATAGTTCTGATGTGTATTGTCTGCAGAAGCTGACTAGGAGCTGGTGGGTGAGGTTGCTCAGTCCATGAAGTTCAGTATACTCTTGCAATTTGTATGTATTGAGGAGGTTTTACATTGCATCCTAGATTTAAGAATGGCACAGGAAGGATCCCTTGCCCTCTTCAGTGTGACAGTAGGGATCTACTTCAAGAAATTTCAAATGTTGCAAATGATGTCCAAATGCTTATATTAAAAATAGTGTTAATGATACCTGTATCTGACTGCCATGCAGTGTATTTATTTTAAACAGCTTCTTTCATGCTAAGTATCAAAAACACTGCCAAAGGAAACAGCTGTTATTTCAGGTAAACTTATGTTATTGTATGTTTGTAACAAAAATCCAAGCAAATTGAAATCTCGATTGCATCACTGTGATATCCTCCTTCTCCCCCAGGTGGTGCTAGTTAACATGAGCTCTTCTCTGCAGTGTGGTAATTTATGAATAGAATTGGGGTGGCTTCATTTTCAGGGTCCCACAAACAGCTTGATACCCAGGACAAAAAAGTGATCACAAGCGTGATTCATTTTGCAGGTCTTAACTGGTTCGTTATTCACAGCAGTTCTTGTAGTTTATGCATTTCAGTTCTTGCAGATACTGGTGATCAGTATATGTTTTTTAAAACCTCCCAGTATATTTTTGGAATCAGTGTTTCTTTCCTTGCTGCTTTCAGTAGCTTTGTGGTATGTAGGGAAAAAGTGCTTGGGGCTGCTTGTAACCAATCCTCATCAAGCTCATTAGAATAAATCAAATATATTTATATATATGGAATTACTTAAACCTGCAGGACCTTTTTCCCCCTCCAGTTCTTAAGATATGTGGAAGCAGTTCATCTTTTGTCATGCTGCTGTGAAAATCTTCCAAGGATACAGAGTTAATTTTTAAAAATGCTTCTTATGTTTATTTTGCTTAACTGTACATACTCTCCAGGTGCTACGTTTAACTCCTTTTTTTCTTCTTTAGATCTCTGCAGCGATTATATTTGGAAAAACTGTATCTCTGAACACTTAAATGTGTGTGAGTGCAAGCAGTTTTACATTTAGATTTTCTCTTCCTGTTTAGATAACAAATCTCACTTTCCTTGTGTGCTTGCACTATAGGTTTGGGACTGACAATAGCTGACTAACATGTCCTGAGCTGTGAGAGGGCATAGCAAGAAGGCCTTCATGCGGTAATGACCCTTTTCAGAGACAATGGTCATCATGGATTATGCGTTTCCAATTATTTGTTCATTTATTTATTTTTTTACATGTTTCTAAATTAGAAACCTCACTGCTTCATGGCAGTTGGTTTGCTATTGCTTCCAATTCTGGTAGGATGCCATTTTGTACTAGAGGTTTTTCTGTGATCATTTTTAGATAGGCAGTTATGTAGTTCTTAAATGATTTAGGCCACAGGGTTGGGTATGATGGTATGCAGTTGTGCATCCACAAAATGGAGTATTAAATGTAGTTTGAGAGGACTTCTCATCTTTGTGGCATTCAGATAACATACAAGATCATACTGTATAGCCAGACTGTGTAAGGGGATTTTGCGTTAATCTCTTCCTCAGCAGTTCCGTACCATCCAGATGGCTGCAGGATTAGTATGTGCCTGCATGCATATATATTAAGTCCCATTCCCTTTCTGTAACATAGTGCCAAATTTGAAAGGTGCAGACTTTGAATTTTTCTGAGGAAATGTATTAGAATATGAGACAAGTAACTTTTCATAATCATGAGGCTTCAAGAGGGCAGTAGTGTAGCAGCATTTTTTTTTTTATTATTTTTTTTTTTTTTTTTTGGAAATTAGCACAGAGTATTTTTGACCATCAGGATATCTTTTTGCTTGTATTTTGTAGGACCTGGATGTGAAGGCAGGTGGGGGTTGTGTCATGACCATCGGAGAGATGCTTCGTTCCTTCCTCACTAAGCTTGAATGGTTTTCCACATTGTTTCCAAGAATTCCTGTGCCAGTCCAGAAAGCCATTGACCAGCAAATTAAAAGCAGACCTAGAAAAATCAAGAAAGAGTGCAAGGAGGGAATAGAAGAAATAGACCGGCATGTGGAACGTAGACGTTCAAGGTCATTTATGTGTTAAAAGAATGTCAAAAGTTTCATACTGAACCTAGTGGTTACCAGAAACATGTTGTCTTTTCAGTGGGATAGGCTTTAAGGCAAAAGACAAACAGTTTATGGATGCTAATGGATCAAAATAATCAGACAATATTTGGTATTTAAGATTAAATGAAGATTGTTCACATAAAGTATAGATAGGAAACTAAACAGGGTCCCTTAACTTCAGAAGGTGGTGTTTCATGTTTGATATCTCTTGTTTTAAAAGGTCTCCAAGACGATCCATCAGTCCCAGGAGGTCTCCCAGAAGATCCAGAAGCAGAAGTCATCATCGGGAAGGTCATGGATCATCTAGCTTTGATAGAGAACTAGAAAGAGAAAGAGAACGGCAGAGATTAGAACGTGAAGCTAAAGAGAGAGAAAAAGAAAGGCGGAGATCTCGCAGCACCGATCGCACACTGGAACGAAGGCGAAGCAGAAGCAGGGACAGATACAGAAGCCGTAGTCGAAGTCGTGACAGGAAAGGAGATAGAAGAGACAGGGACAGGGAGCGAGAGAAAGAGAATGAACGGAGCAGGAAAAAGGAGAGAGATTATGATAAAGAAAGGGGTAGTGAGAGGGAAAAAGATCGCTCTAGAGAAAGATCAAAAGAAAGGAAAAGTAAGAGTGATACAGAAGAGAGAAGACACAAAGATGACAAGGATGACAAGAAACACCGGGATGACAAGAGGGATTCCAAAAAAGAGAGAAAACATAGTAGAAGTCGAAGCAGGGAAAGAAAGCATAGGAGTAGGAGCCGAAGTAAGAACACAGGTAAGCGCAGCAGAAGCAGGAGCAAAGATAAAGCAAGTAAACATAAAAATGAAAGTAAAGAGAAGTCAAATAAACGAAGTAGAAGCAGAAGCAGAGGAAGAACAGATAGTGTTGACAAGTCCAGAAAACGAGACCAGAGTCCCAGCAAAGAAAAGTCTAGAAAGCGTAGCAGAAGCAAAGAACGTTCCCACAAACATGATCACAGTGACAGCAAGGACCATTCGGAAAAACATGACCGTCGAAGGAGCCAAAGTACGGAACGAGAGAGCCAAGAAAAACAACAGAAAAGCAAAGATGAGACTGTGTGAACTCTTTTCAGAAGTGGATCACATTGAATCCTATAAATGTTTGATTAAATCCTGCTTATTTTTTCTTAAAGTTGAGATTGTGCAGTAGTTGATGAGCACTCTTCTCCAACCTCCCTCTAGGCTGCAGATTGTCATTTCCTATTTTGGGTAGGGAAGTGCCTTTGTAAACCCATTCAATGCATTGACGGTTTCAAACCATTTGTTCAGTTTAATTCGTTATGCAGAGATTGTTCTTGAATTTTTATTGTTCAGATGTTTCTGAAATGTACAGTCTGTACATATGTCCTGAAAATGTTTTAATTCCTTTGGCATGGTTGCCATGTTGGTTAAATTTGTATGAGGCAATAAACTGCCACTAATTCTACTTTGATTTTGTAGACGTGGAATTATGGGTTGTATCCTGAAGTTAGCGTGGCTGTGCTTTACATAATACAGCTTTTAGGGATGGATCTTGAATGTGTATTATAGCTGAGATATTTATGTGCATACAGTGTACATTGAGGGCTGCAGATATAGAACTACCATGGATGTCCACTGTACCTGCTGTTTGGTTGTTTTTTTTTTTTTTTCTTTTTTTTTTTAAAGCTTTTAAAATGTATTATGTTGATTGCCACTGGTATTAAATTGAGAGTGGACTTTCAAGGAGATAGTGGTTTTGATGCAAGGATCTGGACGATGTTGGGGCTTGTTTAGTAATTCTTTAGAAAGGCTACCTCAAGCAGACACTAAAGGTTGGCAGATGAGTACCGTAGCCATCTATGCATTTTATTTGTTTAAAAAAAAAAATCCACGTAAGCTTCCATATTTTTTTTTAACACAGTTTATCCATTAGTGGTTTTCTTATGTTTTTCATCAGCAGCTGCACTTTGTCATTTATGATAATCCTGGGCTAATAAAGGCATTGAAGGTTGGAAGAGGGAAGTAGGAAGAAGAAAATTATCACAAAGGATATTAGTTTCAAGCTTCCAAAGCATTTTTGTAAGTGTAAACATTAAGAATGACCTGATAGTGTCCTTTTTTAAGTCATATTTTCTACAAATAGCAAGGGTTGCAGTTTGTGTTGAACATTTCATCTGGCAGATTTTTTTTTTAACAGATTGTTAGAAGCAAAAACCAAAATGCATTATAGAAAAAAAGTCATATCATTAAAGTCCAAGTCTATTTGATAGATTATTCTGATGACTTGTGTACTGAGTGAGGAGAACCGTCTGGAATAAACTCTCAATTAATTCGTTTGTATTGGGTGTCAGCTTTTCCCTGCATGTTCATTGCCAGCTGAAGAGTGTTTGGGTTCATCCACATTTTGTTTTCAGTCTTTGTGACACTTAGTACACAAAATCCCTTATTCATACGAAGTACCTTGTAGGAAGGTGTAGCAAAGAAAGAAATGCAGCAGCCCAGAAATAGGAAGAACATTAAGTGTGACTCATTCATGATCATAAAGTGACCTGAAGGTAGGAATAAATTGATATTTGTACCTTTTTCACTTCTGTGTGATGCAGATCATTTAGGCATGATATTTAAATATTAGGATTTTTTTTTTAAAACCTGTAGGAGAAAACAGGGCTTAAATTGCTAACTACATTTCATTCCATAGTATTCAAAAAAGCAGAAATAGCAAACTCAATTTTGTCTTCCTCCTGCTCTGTTTTCTGAGTTAGTCTTTTGTCACAGTCATCCTTAGCATTCAGTATCTAATACTGACATTCAGTTATCATCTGTTTATATTTTTGATACCTTGAAACAAATCTTACACTTAAGAAGTTCATTTCATTGTAGTGTGAAACTAAAATACTGAGCTGTCATCATGGGAGGAGAAAAACTGTATTGGCCATTTAAGAAATGCCCTGGCTAGCTGATGAGAGCTGTCCTTGAAGGCTGCCAGGGCAGTGCGTGATTTCTGGCAAAATAAGAAGTGTAATTTACCTCATTTGCCACTAGAGGCTTCTTTCGGCCTTGTTAATTTTCCCCTTCAGTTCAGAAATTTTTAAAACGAGTACTCCCTTGGGCAGAGGCTGCAAGGCCAGTGTTCTGTCAAGGGAAAATTGACTGTTGATTCCAGTTCTTTCTTCAGCATTCCTCCCCCTCTACCATGGTTGAGAAATACAGTGAAAGAACAGTTTATTTTCAAGCAAAATCCAGCTATTTAAGAAACAATCTTTGACCTGAAAGTGGAGAGTGCTCTCTTACTACAATTAAGATAGTGAACATTTTGATACAGCTTGTGCAAAGACTTATCTTCAACTGATATATTTACAACTGCAGAAGAAACTGAAGAAAAAACATTCTAAAAAGAAAATTGTAATCACAGTGTGTTTACTGAAGTTAAAAGTTTGTGGAATAAAGGAAAATAAGGAATATAGAGAAATACTCTAGTCAGTTTGAGCAGTTGCTGTGTCTTGTTCAAGAAAACAGCATCTTATCTGGCTTTATGGAGGATACTACTTAAGTTTAGCTGAAAAGTGAGTATGATTTTTACAAAACAAAATATATGCTACCTTCACGTTGTACAGAAAAAGATCTGGTTAAGGAGCCACAAAACCAGAGGCACCAGGCAGTTTTTCAACAGGAACTGGCACAGTCTGTGCTCACAAGTAGTAATTTTGGATGACAGTCTGAATGCTATCTTGAATGGCAGTTGACATCCAGAAGCCTTTATGTAAAAACTCTTTATATATTGGTATGAAACTCACTGGCTGTGTCTGAATAGAGAGAAAATACAATGCTCTTGAAATCACTACTGAAAATTACCATTATTTAACTGAGGTTGCACTGAGAGGTCTCTGTTTTGTCTTTATATCAAACTATATACTGCATGTTTGTAGAAAGCAATATACAAAGCAATAGATACAAAGAAGTGGATGTTTATACAAAGCAGTCTGAAATAGTATGCTGAACCATAGGCATTTCTGTATCATTGCAAAATACACTAATTCAGTTTAGAAGGGACTATGGGAAGTAGTTTTATCCAATCCCCCTGCTCAGCAGATGTAAGTAGATACACAATAACATGAAACATCAAACAATACAATTAAATTATTTTTTATTATGCTATGCTGCAGGCAATTCAGAAAGAGCTCTTGTGTACTGCAGTAACAAAAATAACTACAGAGGTGGTATTCCTTAACCACAAGTAATTTATGTTCAATATTCAGGATTTTCAGAGTAGAATTACCATATTGGTAAAGCAAGGCTCAAAAACCTCACTAGAAGAGAAAAAAGATAAAATGGTATATCCCACTTATATTAAGAAAACAAAGTAAAAAATATTTGGGGCAAAAAAGTACGCATCTTGAGACAAATTTATGGCAAGGCAGCAAATCTCAGATTTCAGAGACTCTTACGTTATGCAGTTATACAGCTCCTGAGCGTTATCTCTGCTGTCACAGTCCCAAGCATTTTCTTACTCAGCTATAGTCAGACACCCTCTTTTTTGGTAAAAATGGTAACATACACTCTATTTGACCATGTTTACAGAAAATTTTTCATGTCTTGTGATCTTGGAGCAAGCTATTGTACTATGGGTTGGTCTTTTTTCCTTTTAACATATTGTCTTTAGTAACAATCAAATAATTCTGTGCAGGAAATCCTTATGCAAGTCTAAGGGAGTTCCTCACCTAACAGTCAAGTAGAGAAGATATAGCACATGATTTATATCAGAAATAAATTTTACAACAATTATATATGTTCTAGCTAAGAGGGTTTTTATACTTACCAGGATAAACACTGTTTTCAATTTTTATTGAAATAACTTCTTTTATAAGCAATAAATTCCACTAGAATAATAATGGCTATTTCTAAAAATTATCAAATTATTTTAAAAACAATTTCAACAGAATATTTTTTCAATTACATTTCAGTGATGAAAAAAAAAAGCACTTCTGTTGATGTAGATTCTTCTTCCATATCCATCGATTACTTATATGCTACAAGTCATTTTGTGAATGAAACAAAAATACTGTTTATCAGTATCAAAAGCAAAGGGAAAAAGGAGCTATTCATGCAAATATTGAACTTGGTATGAGAACCAGCAAAAAGGCTTCAACAGGAATGGCAGCTATTCTGCACCAGTGCAATGAAACATGAAGGATAAAATCCCAGTTCTACAAAGGTCAATGGAAAATACACTTAACAAAGTTTCTCTTACTAACCTGTTGACCGCATAATCTGTTTCTGCAAGAGTAATTCTGTTCTTGTCAATAGCGTCTGTTTGTATAGCGTAAATAGTATTGGGAATTAATGAAGTTAGAGTTACTTTCAGTGTAACATAACTGAGCCAGTAATGAATGGCCTACAATATTCACAGGTGTAGCTGTGACTCTGTGAGAAGGGGCTCCTAACAGCTTGGGCCATCTGAGATAAATGCTTCATGATGGCACATTGCATATAGACACAGAGAAAGCTACAAAAAGGAAAAAAATAATTATAAAAAATACAGTTCAGTCATTCCTGGATTTAGTCAAGTCTTGACAAGAAGATTGTTCAGTGACTTATCAAGTGACCTATATTTCACATGAGAGGCATTCCACTGGGGCGGAGTCTAGTTGGAGGCCTGTATCTAGTGGAGTGCCTCAAGGGTCGGTACTGGGACCAGTATTATTTAATATATTCATCAATGATTTAGATGAGGGAATTGAGTGTACTATCAGCAAGTTTGCTGATGACACTAAGCTAGGAGGAGTGGCTGACACGCCAGAAGGCTGTGCTGCCATCCAGCGAGACCTGGACAGGCTGGAGAGTTGGGCAGGGAGTAACTTGATGAAATATAACAAGGGAAAGTGTAGAGTCCTGCATCTGGGCAGGAACAACCCCAGGTTCCAATATAGATTGGGGAACGACCTGTTAGAGAGCACGGTAGGGGAGAGGGACCTGGGGGTCCTTGTGGACGACAGGGTGACCATGAGCCGACACTGTGCCCTTGTGGCCAAGAAGGCCAATGGCATCCTGGGGTGTATTAGAAGGGGGGTGGTTAGTAGGTCGAGAGAGGTCCTCCTTCCCCTCTACTCAGCCCTGGTGAGACCCCATCTGGAATATTGTGTCCAGTTCTGGGCCCCTCAGTTTAAGAAGGACAGGGACCTGCTGGAGAGAGTCCAGCACAGGGCAACTAAGATGATTAAGGGAGTGGAGCATCTCCCTTATGAGGAAAGACTGAGGGAGCTGGGTCTCTATAGTTTGGAGAAGAGGAGACTGAGGGGTGACCTTATTAGTGCATATAAATATATAAAGGGGGAGTGTCACGAGGATGGAGCCAGGCTCTTCTCAGTGGCAAACAATGATAGGACAAGGGGCAATGGGTACAAACTGGAACACAAGAGGTTCCACTTAAACTTGAGAAGAAACTTCTTCTCAGTGAGGGTGACAGAACACTGGAACAGGCTGCCCAGGGAGGTTGTGGAGTCTCCTTCTCTGGAGACATTCAAAACCCGCCTGGACATGTTCCTGTGTAACCTTATCTAGGTGTCCCTGCAGGGAGATTGGGCTAGATGATCTTTTGAGGTCCCTTCCAATCTCTAACATACTGTGATACTGTGAATTTGGAGTGCTATTTCCCTTGTTCACATTTGTAATCCATTAATTACTGTAATAACTGCTGCTTGATCTCATATTACGTTGTGATGATGGCTACTGATGATGGCTACCCCTATAAATGTAGTCTAATTATCAAAAAAAGGCTATAATCTGCATGTGAATATACAGTCAGTGTCAGTAGTATTCCACACATGAATATCAGTTCAAATGCTTGTTTTCCACATCATGAAAAGAATATGATACAATAAGGGGTAACAGGTTAAAACTTAAACAGAGGAAGTTTAGATTGGATATAAGGAAGAAGTTCTTTACTGTAAGGGTGGTGAAGCACTGGAATGGGTTGCCCAGGGAATTTGTGAATGCTCCATCCCTGGCAGTGTTCAAGGCCAGGTTGGACAGAGCCTTGGGTGACATGGTTTAGTGTGAGGTGCCCCTGCCCATGGCAGGGGGTTTGGAACTTGACGATCTTAAGGTCCTTTCCAACCCTAACTATTGTGATTCTATGATTCTATAAGTGTCTGTATACTGCAACAGCATGACTGCAACGATTAAGCATTTCAGGCTCTTGATGGTGCAGTGTATGCAGGAAAGTGTGCTATCAACAGAGAACGACTGAATTCTGAGAGCATTTCTTGCAGTCTTGCATTCCTTGTATTTTGAACTAGTCAGTATTCACACTGAAAGCAATAGGAGCTGTAGTCACAAAATATGAAACTGAAGAAAGTATAAAACATTGTAGAACATTGGAAATATTTGCACTTAGGGGGTCATGCTTCTGGTATGTGTTTTGTTTGGATGGGCTTTTTGGGGTGGGGTGAGTTGAGATTGGGTACAGGTATGCAGATTGTATTACTTCTTCGTTTTTTCTGCCTGAATCTGCCTATTTATCCAGTTTCGAGCTGTTCATAGACTTTGAAAGACCTTGGGTCCTAACAAATTATTTTTCAGTCACTTGTAAACAGTGCAAAAGTGGAATAGTAACAAAATATGAATGTAGAAGCTAGTGTCAGATAGTCTCTACCCTAACTTTTACTCTACTTTTGCAAAGAGCGTAATACAATTCTTGAAAACAGTTTAAAACTGATTGGCACTCACCATTCCTAGGCAGTTGAAAAGCAGCCCAGTAAGTATTAATGATTTACTTTTCACGCAGCACATCTTGCCAGAACTTTGTTCCAGCCTTCATGTGGGGACGAGCTCACGCAGATCCCTGCCGTGACCAGCAGTATTATGCAGCAGTGCTGTGTCTGCAGGTTTACTCCCTTGGACGAGGAATCTTACTAGGTTATGCCCTCCTCTCTATTGGACTGAAGCCTGCTGGTGGTTGACGAAGGCCATGGTAAAGCAAGTCTGGCATAGCAGTGAACTTTTAAGGCAGGTGGGTAGTAGGGCTTTTCCCCTTCTGTTACAGGATGCAATTTCTGCATTCTTTTTACAACCTTCATAAAATAATTATGCCTAATCTAAATTCAGCATTTGCTCTTCAGCTTATTATCCAATTGGCATTTTTGCCCACTTACAAGGATCTCTTTTTCTGTCAGGACTGATGCCCTGATTGTACTCCCCTTTGAATAGAACACGGTCATACCGTCTGGAAACCACTCTTCCTCATGCTTTGCGTTGTGGAAAAAAATCAGTTTCTTCCCATTTCTTTGTATCTGTACCAGCTGCTGGTTCCCTTTTGACAACACACCTTTATGTCTTTAGAACTTATCACAGATGATTTTGGACGTCAAGAAAAGGTACCTTTCCGTGAACCCATA